CGATGTGAAGCTCAGGATTCATGACGATTACATTGTGCAGATAACATGTGCATTTCGCTGTAATGGAATTTGGCCTCGAAGTGCTAGCCACTGGCCTCGGAGCAACATTCCCTGGCCAAATCCATCAATTGCAAATGAAGTGAAAAGTGAAGGATTCGATTTATTTAGCAAGGAAACTAATGCTGTTCAAAATCAACCTAATAAACAGGTTCAATTAATAAGTCTTTACTTTCCTACAATTTTAAAATCTTCAATCTATGCTAATCTCTGACTTATTCAAACAGGTTTATAAAGAAGTGACAAGTTATATGCCAATAAAAAATGATCTAAATTTTTTCCAAAATAAGTTATTTTGTCATTTGGGAAAAATATTAAGATATTTTTCTTTTATATTGAATGAACTTCAATGCCATCAATATTTTCCGGTGCATCTACCCTGAACAACCCACATTGATATCTACAAAAATACCATTGCCGCATTAATTAATGAAATAGAGTAGAGGTAGAGAGCGCTAGAGAATAGACAGAATAGATTTCGAGAATTATTCTATCGCCATTTGATGTAAGAAATGAAATTTGAAAAACGTATCTGCTTGTGGGGTGTTTGTATTAACGTGGCATTTATCAAATCAATTAACATACATAAAAATATGTATATTGATGGATATATTAAGAAAAATGCGAAGTAAAACATTTGAATGACTTGATTAACTGACACATTAACTTCTTCAACAAAGCACTTTCCATTCCTCTCCATCTTCAATTACTACACTACTGTATTCGTATTTACTCCATTCCTTTCAAATATATTTAAATGCGATTGCTATCACCTAGTCTTCCACAGAATAATCTGCTCTTCCTCCTTATCAGATAGAAAGTAAACTGCATTTAGGTACTACATTGAAAGCCTCTTTTGTGAGCTATTTCATCTTCCGGAATTTTTACAATTTTGTAACTAATTTTATCACAGCTTATTACTACTGCATGTGTGTCATTGTAAGATGAAACGAATTAATGTAAAAAAGCTCACAATCCTTGCTGCTGTCTCAAAAATGACACCACTGACAAGGAGCTCAGGAGTATAATCCTAGCAGGAGTAAACGGAAGAGTGAGTAAAGAGATGGATCAAATTGGTCTTAAAACTTTACTGTCCAATAAATACTATAATTAATAGCATAGCAAATGGGCAGCTGAGCGAAAATTGTTATATTTGATATTATCCAAAAATAAATAGCACAAAAACTTCAAAATATAAGTGAATTCTGCAACACTGACCCGTCAAATGTTGTTAAGTGTATGTAATAAAAATTATTAATTGTAAAAGTGCTAAAAATGAAGGAGGTACTGGTTTTGATTTTTCGACAAACTAGTAACTAATACTGTAAAATGATGATGATGATGATGATATATCATTATACTGAATGAATTGTTGTGATTGAAATTGGAAGGTTGTTAATTAGTTTACAGATAGTGACGAGAAATGACTGCGGGTTAATGTGTAGCAACCGTTATATTATCTTGTGTAATTAATTACAGGCCAGTTCAATGGAAGGTGACGCGTGGGCGATGAGTTTACACCATGCTGAGAATACACTGCTACAACACGGCAGCAGACGGAAATCATTTTCAATTTTAAAATGTCTACGAGATACTCACCTTGATTTCCCGCAATCGCCCATCACTAATTACATCTTAAAAACGCTGCTGTTGTTCGAGTGTGAGAAGCATTACAACGAATTTGAGTGGGAGGAACGATTCATTGGTGATCGAGTCATCGGTACAAACTAACTTATCACCATTTATTCTTTTCATTTTCTACTAATCATTTGAAATGTCTTCGATAAGATGTCAAAAAACTAAATTATATCACAAACACGTTACCAAAACTACTATTACTAATTGTTCCAGCAAAAAATTTTCCGACACAAGCACCGACTGCTTCTTTTCTTTCATTTATAAGCAAGGAGTAGAATAAGAATTTACTAATTATTAGACTCATTTACTAATATTATGACTACCTAAAGTGTTGATTACTAAGCATACCACTGAATGAAATTTACAAACGAGCACTGTATTGTAAATCAGTTTACAACTCAATAAGCATATTAACACGAGTCCATACTTTCTAAAACTACTAAAATTTCCTATATTCTTTTGCTTAATCGACCTCTCAATGCACAATCCACAGAGAAATCATGCAAAAAACAGTTTCTTCTAGCTACTTGAAAAACACTTAATAGTGTTTTTAAATATGTTAAGCATTATTTAGCACCAATTTTCTAACTTTAAGAAACTGAAATAGAAACTAGACTTGATCAACAAAGTACAAATTCATATTGTGACTGATTTCAGGTGTGCTTTTACAGCTGGTATCTTGTTTACAGTGTCGGAAATGTCCACATTACTTTTTGCCTCAATTAGACCTTCTTAAAGGAGAACCAACACATCTTCTCGATCAAAGCGCTAAGATTACTTGGAATCTTGTCAGACAATTGATCCTTAATGTACGCGCTCTTGAATCCTTATAATCCCACTGAAGCCCTGCCTTCTTCTTCTCTTCTTGCCTTTCTCAGCAAACATTACTCAACTAACTATTCACTGTTTCCTTAACCGCAATACTTATACACCACACCAGTAAATTGAAAAACAAACATTTAGATTGAAGCGACATTTAGTATCATGCTTTGAAAAATAAAAATAAATTCTTTTTTCGTTTTTTTACACTTTTAAAAACAGCATTTCAATTTCTGAAAAAATGTGCTTCAGTTACAAGTTGACCTTTTTCCAGTCTTCGACCTAAGTTTTTGAGATGAATAAGAATTCGCTGTGCTGATTTTTTTCTCAAACATTTATATACATATATATAAATAAATATTCTCATTCTTAATTTTGTTAGTTCTCAAATAAGTTTACTTGTAGTCACATTAAAGCTGTGATTGTAATGCTCAATTGAACTGAACCGATGACTGCTTATTATATTTGTTGTACTTAAAAACTTAAATGTGACGGAATAAAATATGCACACCCTCTACGACATTTGACCCCTACCTTCTCGTAAGAAATCATATTTCTGTCCACGATACAAGCAATAAAAAACATTAAGCAGCAGGAAAGTTATCTGCATATTTCAGTGATTACTTCTCAAGAAATCTTCAAAACACTGGAACTCTTATACTTGAAAAAATGTAGTCAGATGAACTTTAAGAAATCAAAAACATATAAAAATCAGAGGTCGGAGATGAACAGAAGAAGAATATTTTTGATCAATTTATTACATGATAGGATGATGGTAATTTTGAAAAATTAAATAAAATATTATTTGTCCAAAAAGAGATACGTTTCATCAATTTACTTATTTCTAGCTAGATAAACTTGATTTTGAGCCTGAAAACTGAAAAACCAAAGTTATACCTTAGGATCCTGCTCCTTATAAAGGGGATCATCTTCATCGGCATCAAAGTAGAGTTCATAATTAGTTATTGAGAGAGTTCCTGGTACCACAATACCAGGTGCAATGAGTTTCGCTACTGTTCCAAAAGTTGCTTTTTCTAAAAATTCATAATCTGAACTCAAATCGTGCAATGACAATAGTCTTTTGATAACTTAATATTTCCGTGTAAGCCATGAACGTTTCTGATAACAGATATTTTTCTTGCATCATGAATTTCAAATTTCAGTTACAACTAAATACTTATAAACCACTATTTTATAAAAAATACATTCAAATTATATATGTCAATTAATCAGACTGATCACTATGTAATGGTCTGTACAACAATGAAATTTTAAAATATATTTCATGACATCCTTATAAACTATTTCCAGCTCTGCCAAAAATTAATTCATTCACAAAACGATAGTATCAGCAAAAAGTTTTTATGAAGATGCGGATACTAATTTGGTAATGCTAGTGATGATAAAATAAAAAGAGTACTGATAAGCACTGAAGAAATACATTGCAGAAAAAACTGAAGGATTACTTCAATCGATCATTTTAAATGAAAGATTTCTCGATAAAGCTGAGCATCAATACATTTTAATGTGCTGACAGTAGAAAAATGTTTAAAACAAAATAACGTCTTTTGGTTTAAAAATTCCTCACAAAGTTATCATATCTTGTTGCTGTAAGTTTTTTACAATTACGGCCAACGTTATTCCTGAACTGCGAGCAACAATTCGAGAATAAGAATAGCATAAATAGTTCAGTGTGGTGTTAGAAGATTTTCAGAAAGAGGTTCAAATAAATAGTAACCAAAAACTATAACAAAAGCTAGATCTCAGCTATTTAAATGTCGTTTTAAGATTTAGTCCTAGAGACTGAAATGTTCTGACTCAACTTTAGATATAAATTTTACATTAATCTCGCTTCACTATTTGTATAAAGCATCGCTCTTACTAAGTGATAAACGTCATCAATTCTGCCGTAATTTCAGCAAAAAAGGAGAAAATCACACCTGATTTCACGACAGCAATTAATGAAACCAGATTAGCAGCATAAATAATCTTTTGAGACAATGCTGAATTTGCAAAACAGTAATAATTTTTAAAGTTCTGTATTATTAAAACTATATCGAATCATTTCTCAAAATAGAATAAATCAACTTCAATCAATGATGATTTGTTATTCTCAAAGCTGATGTGAAATTCAAATAAAATTTTTGCTCCAGCCACCCAAAAAGCATATAAAAAATGATTGAGTGAAAAACATTTTCAGCGTTCTCAGAATATTGGATTCGAAATTTCAGCATCTTAAATACTGACTGGGAATAGGTGGAATACATAACTAAAATAATAACAACCTATCACTCAAAGAATTTCGCACTACGAATTTCACAACTATGAAATAATTTTATAATATTGTTGAAAATCTCGAATTCACGAGAAGTGCAACGTCAAGTCATGAAAGATATAAAACGTAAAAAACCAATTCTTTTTTGTATAGCAGTGTGGTGCAGTGCCATATAATATACTATAAAGTAATGGGTCGACAACTATGGTACCAATGTGTCTAGAAGCAGATGTTCATTAGATAGGTGAAGAGCAAAAAAGATAATTATAGATTCCGTAAGAGATGCCATGTTAATTTGTATGTCGTTTCCGTGCTGGGAAAAAAAACATGTCGGTCAGTAATACACATAACTGCATTTCTTAATACAAGTACGAACTTTTCTAAAGATATAAGTAAACCTAGAAATTATTAATTTTTATGAAACTTTTCATAAATCCGAACCATTTATAAAAAAGAAACCCAAATAATTTCTTTGACGAAATTATTGATCGGTAAATTTACTAACGGTATTTTTAACAAAGAGATCATAGAGGAAAAAAGTACTACCATTTGTCATAAGAGAATATGAACAAAAACTGCGTAAGTTTTCTATCAAAATATCATTTTCCAAATCTACTTGTTAATTATTAACATATTTATCAAAATTATTCAGTAAAAACTTGGTGGGCATGAACAGAATCATTAAACAACAAATAGCAATAAAATTTTATCTAAAAAAAGGTTTTTTCGATTATATCAGATGATTTTTTTTTGTTTCACCTTGACACAGCACAGCTGAGAAAAATTAGAAGTCAGAAGTTTTTTCTATATAATAAACAGAAATCCAAAATTTTACCTTTTTGTAAATCATCAGGTTCAGATGCCCATTTTTCAAAATCTTTTTCATCGACAAGTTCACCCAAAGCAGAACCAGCTTTCAAAGAACCCAATGAAATCAAACGACGTGCTACTAAATCTCTTAATAAATCTTCTCGGGCTTTTTCCACCTAAAACAATCAGTGATGAATATTTTTTTCTTAAAAATCTTTAAAAAATAAAATTTTTTCTAAATTATAAATAAAATTCTTAGTTTAAAAGTAATTCGAGTAAATAAGCAAGTTTACAAAATACCAAACGACAGTTCCCATTCTATAATGGATTATTTCAATTCTGAAATTTTAACAGTGTCTTAGAAATAAATGTACCTCGCTATCAGAAGATTTGGTTTCTATTATAGTTTTAAGACGCGCTGTTGAATGACAACAACCATAAGCATTGCGCACAAAACGCTTGCGACGTCTCGAATCATCCTCCCAAACATCTAATTTCCAAAAAGTATCGCTGAAAAAGGAATCAAAATTGTATAATTGACAGTTAAAAATTTAGGTATTGCAAATAAATTCCCTGTGCTCACTGTACCATAGCAAATACAAAAAAAGTGAGTTAAAGTTGACTTACAGATGCTGGCTTGAATCAGCCCACGCACCACCAGGATTTAAAAGTAATGCTGTCAATTTTTGTAACAAACGTGCTGATACAAGCAGATCTCTTCGTCGATTAGCTGTCACCAGATGGTCATTAACCTGCCCTTCTTTTCGACGTCTATGCATTTGTTCGGCTGCATCACTCTGGAAAGTTTTCATTGAATCAAGATTTAAGCAAACGCAAAACATAAGTTTCAAACTTGATAAATGAAACATACTTCAAACTGAGCATGCTTACTAACGTCTTCAGCTCGTAAACGATTCAATATAAAGTCCGCTTCATTTGCAACTCGCAAAATGTGATCACGTGTTGCATGCGCCATTAAACGACCTAAAAATATGTAGAATACAGTTTGCTTAAAGTTCAAATTACAGCAAGCACAAAAAATTATTTAGGTCACCTAAAATCACTTTACTGACTAAAATATATTAATATTCTGCAGAATACAAAGTAATAAAAACTACCATCGATGATAATGAACTGGAAAAAAAATAAAAAATACTCTGACTTGTGCACACTTTTATAATGGTACTACTTAATAAACAAAATAAAGTTTTAGTTAAGAAACAAGATTAGAATCGTGGTTCACAAATCTTATGAAAATTTTAGCCATCAGATGATCTAAAAGAAACAACTATTTTGGAGGGATAAGTAAATTTTCAATATTGTTCGCGAACAATAATATGGCCCAAACAACAACTTAAGTAAGCAAATAAGACAGTTAATTAAACAGTGGTTACGTAATCAATTCCTCACTTCAGTAATCAAATTACCTTCATTGACGAGCTCAATAAAAGCTAATCCGGCATGCTTTTGTAAAGATGTTTGCCACTCTTGCGAACATAAGAGCATAACTAATTCTATTACCGACCCCCCTCGATTTTTCATTGTCTCCATAACTAAATTAAAGAAGTTTACTTCATTCATGGTTTGCAATAAAACAAGAAAAAAAAACGCAAAAACTGATTTAAACCATAAACCTAACCTTTAGTGTCATTCATAATCTCCTGTCCATGAGTTCCTAATAATGTTTTTTGCAGATATGAACGAAAATCTGACAGAATTTCCCGAAGCAAAGGAGCGGTTGTTTCTAAAGCTTTCTGTAGCTTCTCTGTAAGATATATTCGTCTCTCATCTGTCTCTAGTTCACGACTAGCAAGGCTATTATCCTGTAATCTTCACTTAGAAAACTGGAAGTTCAGAATTTTTTGAACACAATGAAGACTTGAAATAAAATGATCACAAATTCTAAAGCAAATAGAAAAATTCGAATAAAGCTCATTGAAAGCACAAACTTTGAAGCTATCAAGATGATGCTGCCTGTAAACATTATCCTGCTCCATATTTTTGTTCTTTTGCTGTTGTGAAAGTGACAAAGCTTCTTCAATGTCAATATCATCACCAACAGTACTATTCTGCTGGTCAGAACAGTTAATTTCTTCAGCACAAGACCCATTTGTTTGTCTCAGACTGCTGCAAACATCTGCAAAAGAGAATATAAATAAAAAAGGGACAAATAATTGAAACTTCAGAATTAATAAAATTAAGGCATTAAAATCTCTAACACACACTTTTGCTTGAGCCCCCAGTAACTGCTGTGTCGAAGAAAGGACTTGGAGTAGTTGGTGGCTCTAAAATGTCCCTATATCTCGATACCATCAGAACGGACAATAAATATGTGATTGCAAGCGCCAGAAACTGCGCTTGTCGATTTTCCTCCTAAACAAGTTCTAGGCATGTTTTTTCATGTTCGGTGAGAGCCAGACTAAGTTTTTCTGATTAGATTAATTATTCATTTTCTGAACATTTACCTTCAAAGAAACTCATTCGTGTAAAAATAACATTGGAAAAAATTTATACGTAAAATATGATTTACTCACCATATCTCGATATATTACTCCTCTCAGCCGTTGCAAATCAATTTCTTGCAACAAATGTTCAGGGTCTGTGATTTCTTCTTTCCCTTCCTGTAAAATTGAACAAACAAATTATAGAAAACAGAAAACACAAAAAGCAATATCTATTGCAATGCTGACCACCTCAACAGCACCAAATACAAATTTCGCTATTTGTTGAGCACGTGTGTTTTGCTGGAGATCCAAACGCGATGTACTACCAGCACATATTCTCATACGACAGGCAAGTATATTCCGAACAGCTATTGTTGAAACTGTAATTTAGTAGTCTGCTTTTTCGTACACTTTTATCATTCAAGCAAAGCACTTAAAATTGAAATTGATTGACATCAAGTAAGTTTTACCAAGGCGTAATGTTTGTCGCAAAATACCACCGTTAGGCATATTTTTCTCTTGTTCCAGATCACTAAAACTTATTCCAGACGAAAAAATGAAGACATCAGTCAAAAAAGCAAAACGAGCTAAAAGCCGAGCAGCATTACCCAAATCTAATCCTTGATTAGTCGAATCGACAATCTCCAGCTCACTCTGCAAAAAAAAAAAAAAAAAAAAAAAAAAACTATATTAAAACAAAGTATCAACCATATATAAAAATTGTACTATTTTTTTTCTTACGACTCATAATTTTCTAAAAATTTACGTTAGGAGATGTGGCAGCAGCAAGAAGGGGTAGAACTCCACCACATGCCATAACCAATGAATCAATAAGCTGGGATAAGACGTGGACACAATTAGCAACGAATATATTATTTTCACTACTATTCACAGCATCTAATAGAGCTATCGTGCCCCTAAAAATAATTGTCAAACGATTTTGAATTAATACTTATTCTTCAACATTCTCGTTCTTGATTTTTTTTTCAACAGAAAGAGATTTGCATGCTTTCTTTAGAAAATAAAAGCATAACAAATAAATCTGAAAACCCGAACTTTTTCCATTCTTCTGTAGTCTTTTCTACAGAAATCAACAAGTCATCAAGTAGTCTCAAATGAACATTCGACCAGCAAAATTCAGGAGTGCGATAGATTGAGGTTGGATGATCAGCCAATACTTCTCTCTCTTTATTCGAAGATTCATTCTTAAAATACTCAAAACTGCTTAAGCAATTTACTATATACGAATATGAAAAGATCGAATGACAAGAAACCAACATCAGTTTTAGCGACAGATGAAATAAGTCTCTGAACCAAATCAAATATTACATCCGTTTCACGTTCACTGCCATTATGAAACTCTGTTCGATAATGCTCCCAAGATACCTACAAACGTTGAACTTGAATATTATCCTTAATAAACCACTTTTTTTGGACAAAAATAATTTTAAATACCGATATTCAACATTTTCAAGGCTAATTCTACTAATTAAAGCACAAAAATTTAGTGATAAGGACATATAAATCAGCATGATGATGAAAATTAGTGTCCAAAATTTAGCGAATTATTTACATAAATATTGTTCTATGTTCGAAAATACAATACACTAAATACTGTTTTTCATTACGAGAATCACTGATACAATGGTTCATGTTTCATCAGCGATTCTTCGCGCAAATTTCTTTAAAAAAACAAAATTTATACCTTTGAATGAGCAATAGCAAGAGTATCAACCCAAACCCTCCAACCTCCATATTCCAAATATATAGCGTGAAACAGAAGTTGTGCAAAAATGCGGTAAACGAATTCACTAATCGTATATTCCTCTTCATTTTGCGGAGAAATATAAATTAAAGAAATAAGCCATTCTTGCCACACACTCATTTGCAGAATTGTACGTCTGTTATCGCGTGAATTTTCACACATTTGTAATATATCTTCAAGGAAAATTCGTTTCACCTATAAAATTTAAAATGAAAAATTTCTCAAGAATTGATATGACGAAAAGCAAATTGACTATAAAAATAAATCCGAAATTTTCAAAGCTTTCGTCTGAGAAACTTGATGTCTGTCACCAGATTTTTCATATAGTATTAACGACTTTTGCAGTGACTTCTGTCTCGAATCCCCATTTGTTCGCTTCAGTTTTATAAATTATAAAATACTTAAATACATGTAAATAACAAATCTTTATAGATAGCACAAACTTTATTTCTTGCTGTTATTTAGTAGCCTAGTTAAAATTAATTGATATGGACACATACTTAAGTATTTTAAAAATTTATAGGGTCACTAAAAAATAAAGTAAAAAAGGAGATAAAATTCAAAGATAACTTCATTTTTGAATTTCGTTAACATAGACTATTATCGAACCGATAGCATATTTTTCACGGAACAACTCACATTCATTAATTCTGAACAAGTTTCGCCCTGAGTGATCAAATTTGCAATAACTTTGAGCATTGATGGATTTTCAAATCTTGAACTTTCGCTCACTGGTGCATGAACAAGATAACTTATTGTCGGTGTCATCTGCTCAGTGAGAATTTCAAACAATACATTGTATGTTGCCAAAGTCAGATGACTAGCATTTAACAAAAGTCGATCAGTAAATAAAGACAATAAATTAAGATTTCCAATTGAATCGGCTTTCCGTCTAAAATAGTTTTTAAAAATGACTTCCACTTAATGCATTCAAGAAATTTTCGAAGAAAAAATACCATAGGATAAGCAATTTGAAAGATTTTGAGTAACATGAGAATTTTCAACTTGAAAGTATTCCGATTTTTACTGCTTTCCTACAGCATAAAAACAAGAAACTTACTTAGCAGTTGAACGACAGACAAAATAACCAAATATCTTCAAAGCTGGAATACGAACAAGTTCATTCGTAGAACTGATTAACTTAAATACAACTGCAAGTCCCTTTTTACGATCGAAGGCTGGTATCATCGCTGCCGGCTTATCACACAGTAAACGAGTAACAAGAGCCAGCACATCATACAAATTATCATCCTTTAATATTTCATTTTCAAGTCTTTACGAGTGAGACAAAATGAATAATATCAATATGCGGTATATCCATATTTTCTCAGTCATACCAAATATATTCATTTGATTCCAAGGAAAACAATCAGAACCAAAATTCAATTATCACCTCGTTAACAGTGGCAATAAAATTCAACAACGCATTGAATTCACTGTCACGATTCATAACAGCATTCTCTTTAGGATCAGGCATACAAATTAATCGAGAAACGAAAGACAAAATATGTGCACGTATCGTTACCACATCAGTCCTGGATATTCATTAACAAGTTGGCTATCATTAAAAGCACTGACCATGAATGCTGCTCAAACCAGTGGAACGGTAACTAACGTTTTACAACTAAAATCCTGTTACAACTTGACAAGCAAAGAATATTTAGACAACGAACCCATTCCTATATCAAACCTGTTATGCAGAGCACATTATCAATAAAAAATTCATCGTAAATAAATCGAATTTCGGTTATATGACAAATTTTCTATATTTTTGGCTCACATTTTTGTATGTATGATTATTTTTTCCACGGGCAAAGAAAGTTAATATAAAAGCTCACCGAGAAAGACTTCCCTTACGTTTCACAACATCATAGTATGAAGGCAACTGCGGTTCAACAATCCAATAATATATTTTAACAGCATGTAACATTTCAATTACTGCAGCGCAACGCTGTACAAGCAGTGAAATAGAAACACTTGACAGAAACTCGTTTGCCAAATAACTATATAATTGTGCTTGAATCTAAAAACTTTCTATAAAGAATCCAGTATCATCAATTACATAATGAAAACATCATATAAGCTTTTTCTTCACAATATGCATGCTGATAACCGAATAAATAAAAATCTTGATATTATTTACCACAGTATCAGCTCTACTCCAAAGTTCTGGATTGAAAAGAATATAATCGAAAAGATGCTTTAACAATGTTGTTCTTGAAGGAGATGCCATCAAATACTTAGAAATACCAATGATTATTCTCATTACATCCTCATTCAAATTTGATGGAGACGCCTGCATTAAAGAATTAATCACTCACATATTTAAACAGCAAACAAATAATTTTAAATTGAACAAATCTTGAAAAGAATTAAGGCAAACAACTTTTTATACTTACTTCATGTAAAGCTTGAGATATTACAAGAAACGCTCTGCTATTATACAGTTGCTGTTGAACATTTGAGCCAGTCCTTATCAACAGATATATTGCTGATAGTAGTTTCGAACTGAAATTTTGAAGTACTTCCTCCACTAAAAAATTAAAAATGTTATTCACAAAAGACCAAATTAATAATTTCACGGCGAAAATGAAAACTGCTGGCGAGAGAATTCTAAAAAGTTCTAAAAATTAAAAGTTAAAGAAGTTACTTAAAGAAGTCAATTTTTTTGCCCACTAAGATCTGAATAAAAATATCTATCTGATCTAAACAAAAGCCACAGTATAAATCTGAAGCCTGATGTACCAGCAGTCACGATTTATTTACTCAAACAAGACACCTGATAGCTGAACTACAGAGAATACTGGTTCTACATCGTCTATCTCTTCGATGAATCAACTAACTTCAATACTTTTTTTTCACAAGATGTACGTTGAAAGAAAACAGTTCGTTTTCCATATAAACGCATGTTATTAGAAATTTGTGAAACTTTTGATTAGTATACTTCTTAAAATCCTTGAAAATGTCTACGGGCTGCAAAATGATAATTATTGTAAATCACGGGAAATGGAACCTAGAATATAAAAATACTTTCAAAATGAAAACCATCAACGAAATAAGAAACAATATCGAAAATTAAATCATCAAAATAAAGTCTATTTCTACATTTTCATTAAAATAATCAAGATAATCCAGAATCAGGCAAAAATAAAAATTAGTTACCAAAAACGATATTCGTTTTATAAAAATAAAGAAATAAATAACATTTTACGACTGAAAATGCTCGCAATATAGTTTCCTTCCTTATCGATCAAGATCTCGATGAAGAATAGCAATAAGAAGTAACTCAAGCAAATACAAAAAAATAAAGACCTATTTAAAAATATAATAATGAACCATGCATGAGATATTCAATGTTTTAATACTTTTTATGAATACAATTCTTCATATTTAGTTTCCAAATTACATTATTTTTGAGCGCTTTTTTGTAACAGAATTTTTACTATTTCTTATTCTGAAGAGCACATTAAAAAGCTTGAAATCTGAAAGATTACCAAACATCAATTGTCCGATCGCTGCAATCACTCTGAGGAAGGTCCAGTTGAGAAAATAATGGCAAAAGCATCTGTACACCACCCAAAGAATGTAAAGAACTATGAATTGAATAGGTTTTAACCACTTCTACTCCCTGAAAAAAATTAGCCACAAAAAAATTAGTCCAATTACATGATTCATCTCATGAGAAAACATAACTATGCTAAGAATTTCAAAATAAACAAAATCGAAAATACCTCTTTCATAATCGCATGCGGAACCTGAACGAAATACTGAGCACCTGTTTTAGGAGCCGAATGCAAGCATAACTGTCCATCACAGTTTTTTGGTGAATACGCTATGACAATTGAAGCAGAAATTTTTCCATCGAAAAGAAACTGAAATGCAATGTTTAGATAAACTTTTCTCATTAAAAAGTAAAAACGCAAGCTGAATATCATACTCAACCTTTTTGTCATTATCAGACAGGTCAGTTTCAGCTTCATGTCGAAAACAACTTTGGTATGAAGGTCCCAAGCAAAAAAGTGCATTAGCTTGCTGTGGAGTTATAGCTTCCGAAAATACATACAATGCTGCTGTTTGCCCACAAAATGGCTCTTCTCCATCAGGACCGCATCCAATAGTACATTTGTCAAAATGATCTGTGGTTGAAACAAACCTAAAAACAGCAACATCAATTAGACATAGATACAGATATGTTTACTTAAATCTAAACATAAGATACCAGGATACGTCAAAAGATTCGATCATTTGACCATCAAGGAAGCATTGAATTTCATTTTTAGACCAACGAGAATAAACGTGCGCAATAACAATATGATGCCACCTGAAAAAACTCGTTACGATTTTCTGTAAAAAGAAATTTTTAGTGCCAAAAAAAGAAAAATAACCTTCTAGGCGTCAGCTCGAATCTTATGCATCTTACTATTTCCTTTCCGATAGCTCTAATACAACTGACAACTAAGCAATTGCCCATAATATAGCAATTATATCCAACTCCTTTCATCGTTCGAAAACTGCAAAAAAGATATTGACATCAGTTTAAAAAAAATTGAAGAGAACAAACCTAGCATTTAAGAATTTTGAGAGAATTACTTCAAAACAAACCAATATATATATGGACGTTCCTTCTCAAAGCTAACACTGTTTAGAGGATCCATTTTAAACCATGTACAAAAACTCCAGCCATTTTGATAAGGCCATTTCGCCAGAGGAGGTAACGCAATACCCTTGAAGTAACAGAATTTTATTTGCTTGCTAGCAATTACAACGTTATCTTTCACATGGAAACGACACCAATCAATGCTATATAGAAAACTAACCGCGTTAAGCACACCAGGAAATGAGAAAAAAACATCTGCACCATCTCGCTTTGGTATTTCACCTAATACATCCAAAAGTTTGATCGCATTTTTACACTGCAATTTAGAAAGTAATATTTTATTTAGTGAATAACTGTTGCGAAAAACTTTGCAGTATTTCAGGCTTCTGACTCACTATTTATTTTTGCAAAATAAACAGCAAAAAATACAAAGAATATACCCATCGCCCATTCACTGCTTTTAGTGCTCGAAGAAGTCTCTTGGTTTCCTTGACGGTAATACTATAAGTAGTAAGTACACCAAGAAGCTGAACTAAAAGATCCGAAACAACTGCATCAGTATCTGATAATCGATCCAAAATCTGAATCACAACATCTTTCTAAATATTTCAATTGATCAGCAAATAAAGTCTGTCTGTTAATAATATTGAACTAACTTGTGATGTAAGTCCAATAGTCGAACAGGCCTGCATATTACGAGTACTTTTTTTGATGACGCCAATAAATACACTCCATACTTCTGCCTAAACGCCATACAAATCTCATTAAACTGAGAGCAGCAACATATTGATCTAGTTCAAAGACTAGATTTTTTTGAAGGGAAAAGAACAATAAATTAACAACCTAATGAAAGTTTTTGAAGTCTTACAAACTTTTAGTAGTGTTTCTGAAAATTCAAAAATTTAAACATGATAAAATTACCATTAAACGAGGCGGAGCAACGTCCAACAAGTGGAGTAAACGAACAATATTTTCAGGGGTTTTAATGATGAAATTGGACTCAATATCAAAAACTCCCTCTACGAGCTGAAAAAATTACAACTGAATCATGTTGAGAAAATAAAATAGTGAGCAATATGCAAATGCTACGAATTATTTAAACTAAATGATCAATTTGACAAAAAACCACTCTGTCTCTTTAAACTAACCGTGTTGAAGACTGAATCAACAACTTCCTCGTGTGTGAGAGTTTCATTTTGCAATCCCTTTAGTAATCTTTTAAAAGTTTCGTCAGGTGCTTCATCTACAGAGTGAATCACCACAGTGCCACTTCCTACTTCTTTCTTATCCACATGAGATTGTTCACCGAAATCTTGTGTATCCTAAAGTAGCAATCTATAATAATACATTTATAATCACAATATATTGTGATAAAAAGGTGAAGATAAGAAAACTTCATAATTTCATGAACATGACACATTAATACTTATTTAAAAAGTTCTAACAGTATTTGAAAAAACGTCAAAAGCACTTATTCCTCTTATAAGAATCAATATTCACACAATTATTCAAAGAGATTCTGATATAATCGATTTTGAATGGAGAAAATCTTCACTTTCATGCAATTTTACTGAATGAAGCAATATATTGATAAAAAGGGTGGAAACCAAACGATTCTAAAAATTATCTTCGAAATTTCTGAATACGTCAAAAAGTCATTTATTTTACCACCTTTTTCTTCTTTTCTTCTTTCAGCAGCCAATCTTTATGATCTTTTGTATTGTCAAGACTTTGTCTTCCAGTACCTTGTTCAGAAACTTCATACAAGTCAGCTTTGAACGAAGAACTATGAACTGCCGGTAATATGTCTGAATTATCTAACGAAACATCTTCCATCTCATCTTCTCTTTCATCATCACACATATTCTGCAAGTTTGCTTCAAATCACTTTTGTGTTCTATGTTATATAGAAAAAAATTTACAGTTTCAATTTTTATTTCATAATTTGAATTTTTCATCATTTTACGAATTATATGCAATAATACAGTTCGGCATGGGGAGGAAAAAAATCATCAGTAAATAGATGACAAAATTTTTAACCGTAAACTGATAAGATACAAGGAAAATTCCCAGAATGAATCCAAATAAAGATAGTGATTCACTAATTTAGACCTTTCACTCTGTTGATTAGTAATTACATCTAAGAAAGCATACCGCAGCTAATTTAGTGGATGCATAATTTTCGAAACTTTCTTCTTGATCATTTCCATTTGTTGCTGCTTTATTACGGCTATCAACTACTTCAAAAGTAGACATTCTCAAAGAATTCAGCAGTCTTCCTTCACTCTCGTTGTCACTTCCTTTACCTAAAGTACATTACGCCTGAAACTTGAAAATATCTGAAAAGTTCATACACAGCCTCAGATGTTATTCTGCCAGTACAACCACCAATACAGCCACATACTATGACGTATGCTGAATACGTTAATCACAAAAAACCTGTAAAAAAATGAGATACAAGTCTGTGTGTAAAAATAAACAATGTGAAAGAACTAATTTGATAAATGAAATATGTTACCACAATTAGCAAAATAACTAAATCATGCTCTACGTAGACGAAGAAATATTCTACATCATGCATTTAATCCTATGTAAAAATCGACCAAGATTATAATAGAAGCTAATTATTTTAAATATCACCCAGTAATACTACTGCAAGTCAAATATCCTAATGCAGTCAAATAAATTTAACTTCGATGATGTCAGAGTTCAATAAACACTGGCACCAAGTATATCAGAGTGACACTAAACATGTGATACACGTGCCGACCGTAACATATCTTTACACGGTTAAATTAATGTGTATAGATAGTTGTATCTCTTGTTTTTATTGTTATTTGATTACTGGTACTTTTGTCAGATTCATTAGTGATTAAAGGTGTAAAGGTTGCGATTTAGGTAAATTAAGTCAGTACTAGTTTAGTACAAATTCTTCCAATATATATAAGTTCCAAAAACTTTAATGTCATTATTGAAGTCAATTAGCAAAGACAGAGAGAACTTCCTGTAGTACATTGCAGATGGCAGATCTGTCTACCCACTTTAATTACGTAGTGCCCAGATCAGGTTTTCAGCGCCATCCACAGCAGCAACTTTTGCATCAGTTTGCTGTTCTTGTTCAGTGTCCAAATTGTAATTTCTGCTTTCATGTTGCTGGCTTCAATAACTGTCCACAACAGCATCATTATGCTCAGCAAATCACATATGTTCCTGTATGTATTTTAGTTTTGAAAGTATTTTTTCACAGTTATAGGTTGTTATTATTATACAAACATGTAGCATAATCAGAAAAATTATCCCAATTGCCTCAATTTTAATTGACGGAAATAAATTTTTTTTCATTAAAAGTTTATTAGAGAAGGCTACCCTACAGTAACAAGAAATTAATTTGCCGAAAAAGATTAAACGGTGTAGATTAAAGACAGATTTATAAAGACAGTTCAAAAATGGCAGTTTAAAGGTATTTAATAAATCACGAATTCACAAATATTATCCCACACTATTTGTTGAACAATAACCCACCAAATTATCAGTGAAATTGCGTATTAGTTTGAGAAACAATAAGTTTGAAGTTATTGAAAAATATCATGTATTTGAGAACAGCAATGATTAGACTCAGTAATTTTGCCTTCTGTCATATTTATTGAAACATAAGTGAAGAAAAGGAGCAGTAATCAGTAAATCTATCTTATACTGGAAATGAAATTAGTTAAAAGCTAATAGTGTGTATTTGTTCTCTTTTTCATTTGTAATATATTTTCTTGAGTTTCTTTTTTCAAGTTAAAATTTATTTGTTTTTATCGTAGCGTTTTGCAAAATTTGATTAAAAAAGATAAACCACTTGCAATAATTTCTTGCAGAGATTCCCATGCGGTGTTAGTTATTCGCAACAAGCAACATATCAGCAGCATTTTCAGCCATTTCTTCAGCATTCTTGTGCGCAAAATAGCATACAATCTGTTGAGACACAGTCAGTTGTCAGTTCTTGTCAATTCAGTATTAATCAACCACATCTTGATTCAGTTGAGAAGACTCATTGGCTTTATGACACACCGTCTAATGTACAGGAGGATATGTTTAATAGAATTCGAGATATCCTCATCGATATTTTAAATTCAGGAATCGCTCAGGTTATTTTTTGGGATAATAATGATCAAATGTATGGTTTCGTTATTATGCCTTCATTACGTTAACTGCGGCCTCATTTTCCGAATTTATTTTTTAATGATTAGTGTTCTCGTACATGTGTAATTATGTGTTGGATGTGGACGTCAAACTTTTTAACATTTTCAGTTTGGTGTAACAATTAATGAATTGATGGCACTGTTAGAGCAGTCGTGTTCCAAATTTAATTTGACAGTACCATTACCATTACGCTCCAATTTCAAAGCATTTTTACGATATAGAATGACAGATTATATTGAGATTCAAGATGATATGTATCGCTTTCGACGTTGGAGACCATCTATTCGGGTATGGGGACTTTGTGGGTAGTTTTTATATCTTTCCTTCAATTTTGACTTCGTTGCTTTTAATTGATAATTGGACTGACTATAAGTTATTTTTTCTTGCAATTTTTTCTAGCATCTTATCAAAAGTGACAAATTTAAAAGAGTCTTAGATTATATGGCACTAATTCTTCTGTAAAATAACTGCTTCTCAATATTAAATAAGCAGTTACTTTACTGAGTTATCTATACTGTCATGAATAATTTGGCTTTTTTCATACAGGGGATTTCTTTTTTTTTTTTTAATTTCACATTTTCGCGTATTAAAGTATTTAATTGAGTAAGGTAATCTAAAGACTACTATCACTCATAATTAAGTGTGATAGGAATCAAAAAGTGTTTAGAACATGTGTTAAAAAAAACAATTTTCAACTGCTTACGTAGCATTGGTAGTCAGAATCTTGTTTTTTTTTCACCCAAATTTTTTTTTTACTGAATTTTAATTTTTCAGGAATTGAACGTTTCTACTGAAGCAATTAGTGAATCTAATATGCTGTCAGTCTCTGAAATCCCTTATTTATCGCATAGTAGTAATCAAGTTACTGCTGATTTTGATAAATCGTCTACTTTATCATCAAGATCTACTGGAATAGAGAAGCAAAAAGAGCAGTTCAATAAAAGTGAGGTATGTGAATAACTAAAAGAATTTTCAGGCTCCTTAAATGCAAATAGATTCAGGTTGAATTGCAAATGCTATTTTTCGCCAGGTCTTTCTTTATCATATTGTTGTTTTTCAATATCATATATTATAATCCAGAATGCAGATTAAGGAACATGAAAATGCCATGATAGATAAAATGAATGTTGCTGTTGTCAATGATCGATTTGGAGAATGTGGTGACACGTTCGATGGTCATAATGACACTCATGAAAAGGAAGAAGTATTGAAAATGTTAGTTTATGGTAGTAGCAAATCAAAAGTTTATTGTTCCAGGATTGTATTTGCATGTTTGGTTTCCTAAATTTCTTGAAAAATATGACTAAAAATATTTTGGCATCTACTTTCGAACGTGGATTCCCTTTTTTGGCATTCTTTCTTCTGAATAGTTTTAGTCTTTATTTTTAAAGGAAGAAAGTTAACGACTTCATATGGAACTGTGAAACATTTTTTTCTGGCGACGTAAAAGAGCTGATTAGATATTTACGAATGGTAGACGATTATTTCCAATATAAAAATGGCGAATTTACTTTTTCGGAATTTAAGGTTCAGCTTCTTTTCTTATCTTCTTTCTTGTTATTGAAAAACTGATTTTAACTGTAAATTTGTGAAGGAAGTTTTTGGAGAAGCAAATCAGCGATGGCAGTTTCGCGACTTGATTGAGATGGAGGCTATAAATATCGTGGATGGTGCTGATTTAAACGAGAAATCTGTTTTAGTTGTCAATCCTATTATCAGGTAGTTAATATTTCATTTTAAAACTTTATGCAGTAAGGACGAACCATCTTTCACAGTAAACAAAAAATGGTTTTTTTTTTCTTCAAAATAACCAGTCCTTTCTGAAGATCATTTTATTAGGGAAGTGAGGTTTATCGATATGTTGAAACTCGCGAAAAATCTCTATAATTTAGTATCGAATTTATCCCAGCTCTGGAAATCTGTAAAGCTGGAACTCATCGCTCGCACAGTCGTAAGTTTTTGATTTAATTATATTAGAAAACTGCATACTGTGATTTTTTTGTAGTCGCTAAATGTTTTTTGTTGCTTCAGATAATGACAGCTTTGCTGTTTTTATTGAATTTCTAAAATCAACTTTCAGGATTTTGATATTAACAGTAGAAAAACAATGGATGAGAAATATGCTCTGCTATGGGAATTACTAAGCGATTCTCCTTATCGAGATATATTTCTTATCAATGTTATTAAAAGACAGTATAATGGTAAAAGCACCTAATATCAATCAAATTATTTTTAATGTCGAGGAAAGATGTCCTCTCTAAATTTTTTTATCATTATTATCAAATATATATCGAGTTTTTGACATAAGTGATATTAGCGATTGTAAGTTAACATTAAATAATACAATATTGTTCTCATTATTTTTTTCAGGACCAGGTTTTGATGTGGTGGTACAACTTAATCCTGACTATGATGTCTCTGAAGTGTTTCAAGAATAAACATTCAAAAAATGAATTTCATCAGCAGCATGTTTTATATTTTCTTGTAGAATTTAAGTTGATAATGTTGTGTGTTGATAATTAATACCGAATGTTTTAGTCATCAATGTAAGTGTATTGAATCGCTTGTAGCATCAGTAGTTGGTGAGCGAAGAATTATGATCTCGGTTTAAGTCTTCTGCACCATTTGTGTCTTAGTGTTTTTATTTGTTTGTAATATACAGTTGATATGCTTAGTAACTGCCTTAATTTTTTTCAAATTTTGAGTAAATTTCAGTTTTCTTAACTCTGATCTCCATGTGAAAAATTTGTTTGAAATATCTTTTCACTTAATTTTAAATAATTGTTTGGTATTAGTTAATTTCTTTTATTTTGGTTTCTTTTTAGCCGTCAGATATGAATTTTTTACATTTATCCGTCTTGGAAACAAATGGTTCTTTTTCTGCGTTTTAAAAGCAAGAATAATGTTATTAATTTTATTGTTGTGAGAGCTATTCACATTTATTTTCTTTTTTATTGATTTTTGTTTGATAAATAGAGTTACACGAATAAGATGTGTCGTTAATCTCATGTGTAATTCATTTTTCGATCATAATATACATTGACGATCGCGACTTATATCAGTGAAGCTCTTGAAGTTAGGAAATGGAAGTTTTCGCATATTTGCTCATATTTTATCTTTGAGTATGTCAGCAGGCAGCTCCACTATTTATGTTTACCTTCTTTCCGTTAAGGAGAATGAAGCATGGTGTTGGTTTCTGCTAGAGGGATGTGGTCAAGATTTTTACAGAGTCTGTGGTTCAGAAGAGGTGGTTGTCTGTGTCTGTCAGCAATCTGTAAAGGAATGGTGTCAAAACGAAAACCCCTAGTCGTAATTTTGGGATGCACGGGAACTGGTAAAAGTGATCTGGGTGTTGCAATAGCCAAGAATTTCAATGGTGAAGTGATCAGCGCTGATTCTATGCAGATTTACAAAGGTTTGTGATGTTTTAAATTTTCAGACACCAAGTTTTTGGTTTGCTGACAGTAGGAACTGTCTATTTTTGGGAGAATACTACTATACGTGGTGTGATTTGGATGTTAGTCATGTTCTAGTTTTCCTTCTTAACTATGGTGGTAGTTAACTGTATGTTTGGGTCGCTGCAGAAATGTTAGTGGTTAGTAGTTTTATTATAGTTTGAATATTTTGTAACATTTTGTTTTTATTTGAAATATTTTTAATTTTCTTTGGGAAATTTTATTGTAGAATATTCCCTAAAAATTAAACTCTTGATGAAATTCTCTTTAAAATGACTTTAACATTGAAAATTATACTCCTACTTGCTAGCTAGATGCTATAATTTTTTTTGCCATGGCTGCAAACGAAAACTTTAGTAATGATAGTAAGGATGTAATAGTAATTGAAAGTTTTATTTTATGATTCAGTGTGAAGTTTGTGCTATTATACGTTTAATTTATTTAATTCTTTCTGATTAGTGTTACTCAGGTTTCAAATTATCTGATGGGCATTGTTCGTTATTTCCGAGTTTGTAATTATGAAGCATTTGCAGGCCTTGACATCGCTACAAATAAAATTACACCAGAAGAAATGAAGGGTGTTGTGCACCATATGATGAGCTTTGTTGAACCATCAACATCTACGTATAATGTACATCAGTAAGGAACCCTTATATATAGTTTGATTTGAGTTTTTTTTTTCTGAAAAATCATTTCGTTTTTTTTTCAGGTTTACTAAACAGGTATTGTTATTGCTGGAGAAACTTTGGCATGCTGAAAAATTACCTGTTGTCGTGGGTGGTACAGGATACTATATTGAAAGAATTTTGTTCAAACATAATCTAATATTTACAAATACGTACGGTGCTGATTCGTTTATACTTGGTTCAACCATGACTTTGTTGTTAATGCTAAAACAATCGATTACTATGCTTTAAAAGAGTATTCCCAAATTTTCACTAATTCTCGATTAAAACTTTTAAACATCACTTCTGATGAAATAATTCAATATTAAAATACTGAGCTTTGAATCATAGAAAATAGTCATACATTTTTCATTCCATGTTGTCATTTTGCAATTAATTTAAATTTTATTCTCAAACATTGATCTTTAAAAAATTAATTGGGTCTGATTTTTCATCTCAAAACTAATATTTGATTCATAACGTTGTTACAAATTTTTTCCAAAGTACTGAATCTTCTTTGTTTTGGTAGATGATAAATATGCCTTCGAAGACATGTCTGATGATGAGGTTTATGAACTGCTGAAACGTATAGATTTAAAATCTGCTATGCAGGTAAGCAAAATTTCTGTCTCTGTTTTTTTGTATTTAAAAAGCGCCTTTTTCCATCTTGGTGTGTGATATGAAAATCTTAAATAATATTAATTATAGTTTTAATATAGAAATAGAATGAGTCATCCTGTTTTGCGTGGGAATTTCAGCATTATTAATGATATTTTTTTACTCAGTTTTTCAGTGTGTTTAAAAGATTTGCAACAGTTTTTCATAGCAATTTTCTTATAAAGTATATAAGTTCTCAGGTGCACAAAAATAATCGTTTCCGTGTTGTTCGTGCCTTACAAATTTACTATGCAACTGGACGACGTAAAAGCGAATATTTGGAGGAGCAAAATCAAAAATTAAAATTGGGAGAAAGATTACGGTTTCCGAATTTGTTGCTCTGTATTCTAGATGCTCGTCCGGATTTGCTAGAAAACAGACTGAGTGAGCGAACTGCTAGAATGATTGAAAGGGGATTAAGAAATGAAATTGAAGAATTTTATGAACAGGTTGGATGAATTCCCCAATTACACCTTGCAAAATCAAAAATTAAAATTGGGAGAAAGATTATTTTTGCAAATTTTTGTTAACAATATTTAGTAACATATTTTAGATCAAAATAAATAATTGAAAATGTAATGAAGATACAGATATGTTATGAGCATTAGGTCCGGGAGAGCGACATACTAAATTAGGGGATAGATTAGGAAGATTGGCTAATCAGGCATATGAAAATAATTGTTTGAGAATGTTCGCTTATGATTGAGATTTATATTTCTAAATATATCATTGTTTCACAGAAAAAGCTTTCAAACTTGACGGTTTGGTGCCGGAATTTTGTTATGGTATTTAATTACATGTTGTAGTATCAGCATTGTCTCACAAAACATGGAATAGCGCAGTCAATTGCAGTTAAGGAATTTCATGAGTATCTACAATTAGATCCGGAAAAGCGACACACTGAATTAGGTGATAAGTTATTCACTAAGGGTTGTGAAGCACTGAAACTTCACACACTGCAATATTCACGAAGGCAAAGGCGATGGATTAAACACCATTTTCTGCTCGGAAATTCTGCAGAAGAAGTAAAAGCATTAGTTTTTTTGCAAGTAAAGCATTTGTGTAGGAATTTGTGTCATCTGCTCAAAATATTTCTAAATTGTAATGATCTTTTCATGTCTTCAATTACTGTTTTCCAGTTACCAAACATAAAGTTGTTGGATACCTCAGAAAACTTTCATGAATGTGTGGTCCCAGAGACTCTTCGTGAAGTTGGACGATTTTTGCATACTGTTGAAAGTAGTACCGGGGTAGCAGAAAATCAACATGGCTTTGGATTGGACCTAAATTACCGGGAACTGGCTAATCAGGTAGTAGTGTTTTGCCATTGCCATTTGACTCGAAAAAAAAGTAGATATATCTCAACATTCCGCTACATTAAGATGTACTTGTTTTTTATGCTTTGCTTCGAAATAAAATTTCGTTAATACAAAATTCTGTTTTGACAGATTGCAACTTTGGTTAAAACAAAATAAATCTGTCTTCTCAAAATTGTTTTAGATTTATCACTGCGAGAGTTGCGGGATTGATGTTCATGGTACAGTAAACTGGCAAGCGCATTTGAAAGGAAAAAAACATCATAAAATGCTGAAAAAGAACGAAAGCAGTGAGTTGAAAAATTGAAAAATCATTGGGTACTTAGTTTTGTAAAGAACAGTGTGAAGTTTCTTCTGAGCGAGCTGTAGAAAAAAATAAATCAATATTCAAGCACATCTCGAAATATTTATTTCCTGAAAAAAATGAAATTTTTTTGATGGTCAGAATCTTGTGTAGATGAAGTGAAAGAAATGCGTAATATTTCATATCAAGTCCTTGTTTAATTGCTTGTGTGACATGCAGTTGGCAACAGTTACGCTCAGATAGATCAGTTTTTGTCATATCTTATTTCCTTTTTAATAGTTAATTCTTCTGAACTCTGATTAATGCTGTTGTTCGTGAGTAATTAAAAGATAAAGACGCAAAGTGTAATTGCTTGCTATAATCCGATACATTGTATTTATTTAGAAGGAATGCGTGGATGTTATTTGTTTTGGTTAGTGTTAACGAAATAAAAATTTTACTCTTCAACAAAGCTTGTGCCGTTGTGAGAAAGTACATGGAAATAAAAAGCATACTTTCAGTTTGAAATACGATGAATATCTTGCTCATTTTATTTCAAATGCATTCGCGAAAAAATGTGTGGATGGGAAAAAAATTGGATGTTAAATGTTGAAGAATTACACTGCGTGAAAATTAAACGTATTGCTTTGTATTTCAAGAACTGATTCTTGCAACTAAACAAAGGGTGATTAATTTTTGATAAATGCTTCAGTCAACTGCAAAATGATAATGATATTCATAGTATCCAGCAGCTTGAAGATAAAGATTTTAATACTTGCGCTTACTTATGTGCATTTGTAGTTAAAGATATACGACGTTATAATTTGCTGGGAGTGCAAATTATTTGAATGATTTAATGGTGATTTGCATAATTTTTTAAGAACATTACACTGTGAGTAAATGCGAAAACCATAATTAGCTGTAGAAGACATGCCTTCAAATAATGTGCTTGACATCTTACATGATAAATGATTGTGAGGAGAGAAATACTCCCTAAAAAACTTCACTGTTCAATGATAAATGCTTAGAAGCTCAAATTCTCGGAACTCTTACATTATTCATATATTTTCATGAGATCAGATGACGGGTAGGATAAAATTTTGTTTGTCTTAAATTGTTTAGATTAATTTTTTGAATGGAAAAGTAGATGAAAGTGAAATTTTGAAGGCAACAATGCTTATATCAAAACTCGAATCGCAGAGTTGGGAATATGGTGATATACCGTAGTACTGAGCAGTGTTGTAAGTACGCGAAACTTCAAGAAATGCAGACAAAGATTTTAAGAATGCTATAAGGAAAGACTTGTCACCTACTAGTAACTTTTTCTGACAGATTATTGTTGCGTATTTATGCAGTTACAAATTGCGAGCAGTTATTTGAAATTTGCTCAATGTTCAATATTTGATTGAGCATTGTTTTCGAAATTTTGTTGAATCTGATAGGCTTTAATGACTGCTTTTAATTATAACATGATTTTCTGACCTGTAATTTTGGTACGACAATTTTAGACTGATGGCAAAATCAGAATCCCACGAGCCAAATACTGCACTTTTTCTATGTTTCACATAATTCTTTATGCAAAGCACCGTCACTAAAAACTATTGAAAGCAGAATGCAACTTTATTCAGATATACCATAAAACCGCCATATTAGAACCATTCGACTTTCATTGTTGTTGCAGTACTTCACCTTGCACGTCATTATAGTGTAACAAAAAATTTGATGGAAGTAAATTGAGAGTTACTGCATTATGATTCCTGACATGAAGAGGTAATTGTATGAAATTTGACTGCAAAGTAGCTGGCAAATCTCTATGTCAGAAAAGGGATTAGTACTGGCATTCCAGAAACTGAGTGTTCCGTTTTATGAACCAGCAGAATTCCGGGTTGGATTGCGATAATTGAATAGCTGCCAAATTTATAGATACAACTAAATTTATAAATAAAAGTTTGCCAAATTTATAAATAAAAGTTTCTGATTGTCAAAAGACATCTCAATCCCCATTGTTTGGACCTCCAATTATAAAAATGTTCAAAATCCGTAACTTCGTATAATCGCATACATCCCTAAAGAAACGCTGCGATGTTTCACTCGGGATTCAACTGAAACTCACCATCACCATACACAACTCAACATCCAACACAGACCCCATGCAGTACAAAAACAGTAACAATATTAAATTTTTAATAACCTCATCACATAATACCGACTTCGATATAAAATCATCTATTCCAACACTTTCTCAACCAAAATGCCCTCGATAGCATATGTGCTCTAATTTTAACTCCATCTTCCTAAATCAGATTTACAGAAACACGTAATGTACAACCAGTAATATCTTATAAAATACTGAGTATTTATAACAGCATTATCACTCGACTTCTATATCCATAATCTTTTTTAATATTTATACATCCAGAACGAAAGTCCTTACTTAAAGCTGTAAAAAAACTGAAAATAGTCAATTTATTAGCTTCTTATTCATAGTACAGAGCTTTTTTCAATCGATACCAGTTAAACAACAAATAACAATAAATCAAATTTTTGATCTCCACAGAAAATGTAAAACTTGATGTTTTACAAACGTCGACCACGACGACCACCCTTCCGTCTAGTACAATCCGTTGGAATGGGTGTAACATCTTCAATTCGTCCAATTTTTATGCCAGAACGAGCCAAGGCACGAAGAGCTGACTGTGCTCCTGGTCCCGGAGTCTTTGTTTTTGTCCCACCAGTGGCACGTAACTTTATATGCAATGCATTAATTGACAACTGGAAAGGTTTTCAAAAATGCAATAAAAATAGTGAAAATGTAAAACCATCAGAAAATCATGTCAGTAAATAATAGATTGGCTGATAAAGGAAACTGAAAATTTCCATCGCTAAGCGCTATCGCAATTCCGATGAAATTTCGTTATCAATGAAGTCGGTTTTGCAATACCATGAAAATTGGAAAAAAAATGAAATTTTATATGCTATATATGAAATGATATTTAAAAAATTATGCATTATTCATTAACTAACAGCTTTGCAACGCTCTGCAACATCTTGAGCAGCTAGCATAGCAGCGTATGGCGAAGCCTCATCACGATCCGCTTTCACCTTCATACCACCAGTTACTCGTACAATAGTTTCACGACCTAAATTACAACAAAAAATACGACAATAATTTGATGAAGAATACTACATTTTTCAAGAAATAAAGTCGGCGACTGAAAGACTATAATAGTTCTTTACATGTTGAATAAATGTTCTTTGTTGTTATAATGGTATCAGCTTAAGAAAAGCTTATTACAAAGCAACAAATATTAATTTGGCATTCATCCCTTCAACAGTTCCTCATTAAAGATCGAACTGAAGTACACGTGAATGCGAGCAGACCGGCCACATTACTAACAGTAAGGGACACTTGACTATACTTTATTACTCGATTAGTTTGTGGACAAAACATCAATTACGAATAACTTTGCAATGAGCTCAAAAGACACAATAAACTAATTCTATGCATTCGTGGTCTATATGAATACAGTTCTTGATCACCAGAACACACAACCAAAGTGAATCATTGTGAGGAAAAAAGTAAAAACTTTTAGCTTATGACAAAATAAAATCACTTTAAGAGCAGATGAAAAAACAATAATCTCATCAAACTCACCAGATAAATCAGTGACATGAACGAACGTATCATTGAATGATGCAAAAATATGCGCAACACCAAACACAATTTCGCCCTCTCGTACTTGCGGTCCAAGTGTAACAACAGGCTGCTCTTCCTTCACTTTCCCCTTGCGCGGCGGCATACTTTTTTTGTTTTAATAATAACGAACAAAGCTATAATAAAAACCTTGATGCATAAAATGCTGTAAAATGAAGCAGCATGCCAAAGTTCAAAAGTCGAGTTTCAGAATGAACGGGAAAATAAGTAATACATATCCACCTATACTAATTATCTAAGAAGTGTAGTGTGTAAGGAAATGCAATACCCATAATTTTATTCACAACAAAAATGCGAATTGAATTTGTATTTGCTTCTGCGAAATAGTATTATTAATAATTTCTAAACATTCACTTGTAATTTATAGTGATGAATCATATGCAAAATGCTATAAAACTGAAAATTATAGTCCCCAAAAAATAATCAATTAATAGTTCGCATATTAGTCAATGTAACCAACAACAAAAACGACAATTCCACACACAGTAAGATAAAGCTACTCTCACTAACACTTCAAAATTTATGCCAACATAACAACACGCGACCTTCGCCATCAATCTGCTATCATCCTATATACGCATTTCAAAATGTTCGATCTGAATAAACTTCGAACACACCTTTAAACTTAAAATCCTGTGGTTATTAGCGAAACGACTGTAACTGCAGTTTTTGTCTTGAATTATATACTACAATAAAAATATGCAACAGCCTGGAAAGAGTGACTGAGGAATGAGTTAAACTTTCTAAAATCGATTGTTTTGAAGTTATCGCACATCGTTTGCTTGAATTTTCTTACTCATAAGGTTGGCGTTTGCCAAAGCTAAAACACTACGTATTTATGAGAGACATAGAGAAACAAGAGATCTCAAGAGATTGCTTTCAGGAAGTATACAGGGCATGTATAACATATGCTTGAAGTTTAATGTAATATTTTTTAGCAAATTCGTGATTGAACCTAATGTTTGCTTCGGTTTGGGGTTCTCCTAGATTTACTCTAGGATGTAGAAGTGTTTAATTGTTCTTTCATGCATGGGGTTATTTTTTGAATATGTGGCTCCAGTTAATTTGGATCATTGATTATTTGTGTTTATGTTATTTGAGGACAGTGGGTAGAGTCTGCAATGCTTCCTCAACTTATCACGGACTTCTAACTCTTTCGATTTTTGTGTATAATCTGGAGTCAGTGATAGGCTAGTAAGAGGTATTCGCGTTGGAGAGTGCGCAGGCTTTTGGTGGGTAGGGTTATGTGGACGATTATGGACGTTTTATTCTGTTTCTATGACTACGTTTGTGGTTTGAAGGATTCGCTCAAAAGCATTTTTGTAAGTTTGATTGAAATTTAATTCTCTGTAGATTTGGTGTCCGAGTTCGGTAGTTTCTTTTTTTTTCAAGAAAACTGTTCTGTAATTTCTGAAAATTTGAGTTTGTTAAATTTTGGATTTTATGATTCGCAGTTAATTTTATATTTTAATGCAGAACTATCACTATGTTTGGTATATAGTTATGTCGATAACTGTAATGTGAATCTAATTATTGTACAAGTATTTATGGTATTGAATGAGCAAAAAATGGATCGCTTTTTCAACATACATCTGCAACTCTTTTTGTTGCACTGTGAGTACAAAAAGCTAAAGTAGATATCTGTGGGGTTACTAATTTCTACATACTCATATGTACATGAAGTTTTTCTCACATAACAAAAATTTGGATTTGTCAAGAATCATCTAAAAATAAAAAGCTTATAAAGTATGTAGGTAATTAGATGTAAATTTTTTGTAATGAGCAGTTTGTATTGTACTAAGTTCTGAACTGCAACAAATCAGTTTTGCTTTTAAAAACTGTTGCAGATAATTCATAAGTTGGACAAAATATCAGATGAAGAAAGTACAATCTCAAAGAAAAAGCAAGAGAAGCTTTTGCATCCTGTTGTTACTACTGTTCTCCAGCAACGACGACAAGCTGCTAATAGAACAGAGATAAAGCGAGCTGCAGAGATAATTGCTAAACCAAAAGCTTTAACAGGGTATTTTCAAATTCCTAGTATCTCTCTGAAATTTAGTTCAAATATGGTAATCCTCAAACATGTGTTTTAAACTAGGATTGAATACATGAGTTTTCAGTCTTATTTATTCACTTCTGGTTAATATGGTACTCGTTACTTTCCTGTATTTCACAATGCCTGACGAGACATCGAAATTTCTTCGTATCGTTCATGGTTCTTTTTGCGTTTGTGCTCTTGTGATCTCTCGAATATTTGGTAGTATATGGTTTTCGGATATTGCGAACGTCGCGCAAAGATATACGGGTGTGCAAGTTCCAAATTTGTCTTTTTGGTGTGTTAGTTACTCATGTTCGTATATATTTTGATTAATTAATGTTGTGTGGTAATGGCACGCTAAATTAATGTGAACCTAGGTTTTGCATGTTTCAGCAAAGTTACGAGCGATTTTTGTTCGTCATTATGTCTAGACTGTCTAATTTTTTTACAATCGCTCTTCGTAAGCAGTATCCCAGTGCCGATGTTGGCAGAAGCATTTTCATTAATTCATCTAGCACTACTTAATTCTTTATTCAGGTTTTTCTTTTACATATTATGTAAGGAAAATATGTGAAGCCTATATAAGTAATGTATCAAGTACAATTTTTAGCTTTGAATATGTGTGGATGTCATTTGGTATTGGGTCACGTGCCCGTATTGATTTGATTGAACGACACTGGCCTTACTTTTTGGGTTTTGGTACTATTCTTACTATTCTCTCTACCCTCACAAATAGCGTTGTCGCAAATGCATTGCTTTTTGGTGCAGTTTTCCCACTTTGTATTATTAGTAGTTATTTGGTCAGTTTTCTAAGCTTTGATCCTTGACATTTGTGGAACATTTTGTAACTGATGCGTATTTGTTTCTTGATTTTTGCCAGTATAACATAATGTAAATGAAAATCAAATTTCGCCAACTTTTTTTGACGAGATCAAGTACTGCTAAAATCACAAAAGCGTCCTTATATTAATATAATATTCTGAGGATTTCTTCACAGAAACTTTTTCAAACATTAATTAGGGTCAGTCATTAAATGTCGTATTTGAAGCAATTTTTATTATCACTCTCTTCATTTCAGGTTAAAGCAAGTGACTATAATCAAAGATCATATCCTTATATACATATATTTGGCCCTTCATTAGCAGCCTATGATTATTTGGCATCTGTTTTATTTAATTTTCTGAAATCATTAAGAAGGAAGCGTGGGACGCAGGTAGCGAGGATGAGAGTTAAAGTGTCGTCTCATCAACCAACATGATATACTCCTATAGAGGATTTACATTCTGTGAAACTTTATTTATAATTTCTTTAACTTGCTCATGTGGACTTTGATATGTTTATATTTATTTATTATGTGCTCACCAACGTAGATTATTATTTACTCTGCGCGAAATTACTTTTGGACGATTCTTTCATATGTAGTTGTTGATGAATATAGATCTTATGTGAGAAAATTTTTGCAGTTTAAGCTATATATTATCGTTATATGTAGATCTTATGAGATTATATTTCCATTTCCTAAAAATTGTACTATGCTGTTAAAATTAGATATAAACTAAAATTGTCAATCAAGTTTTCTGAAAATTGCCAAAAAGTGATAAGTTCTTTCATGTATAACATGCTTAATCATTTGCACTCAGTCTGTGTATGTAGAATGTTGCTTGTATATTCCGTTTGAATATTCTTTAAGTAGTGCCGTGTTTAGTTCTGTATTTTTTTATGATTGTATTGGTTTTTCCGTGCCGGCAGACTGTATATTTTGCCATTTTTTTTGTGAATATAAGCTTTTATTATTGGCTTCTAGTTTTGAAGTTTGATGCTTACGCGATTACGCTTTTTGATTTTTGTGAATATTGGATAAAGTTTGCTTCTTTTATCACTAGTTACAATCGTGTTTTACATCTCAAATTATTTGATAATTAAGATTAGAGGTTTTCTATTCTTGTTTTGCTAATGGCATCAAGCAGCGTCTTTTTAGAATATATTCGAAGAAAATGGTGGCGGTCGAAGCAGTTGCAGTAGGTCTAGAAGCAGGACATAAGGTTAGTTTATTATTGAGCTTTGTCTGGTCTGTCTGTTGATTGCTTGTAAATTGATCCTTAAAATTTTAGGTCACGAAAAATAAGAGAAAGTTGCGTCAAAATAGGCGTAGAGGACGCATAACTAAGCGAAGTAGGATTGTACGTGAACTAGTCCGAGAGGTGGCAGGATTTGCTCCTTATGAGAGAAGAACAATGGAATTGCTGAGAATCAGGTATGATTTGTGAAATAATTTGGAATTTTCGTGAAGAGTGTGATTAGTTTATGTCAGTTATCTTACTGTGATTCTAAGGTTTTACTTTCCAGCAAGGATAAAAAGGCTCTGAAGTTCTTAAAGAAACGAATTGGGTCGCATGTTCGTGCTAAGAGAAAGCGTGATGAAATTCAGTCAATTTTAACTAATCTTCGTAAACATCACAAATGATTCTATAACTGCTGTTGTGATACTTTTTCAGTGTTTCATTGGAATAAAATATTCTAATTAATTTGTTTTGCACCTGATCTTAATCTACTTTGTAGTACCTTCACATTTATTTAAAGGTTATTTAAAGTTGGAAATTGGAACCTTTACCAACATTCAATCTTTTGCATCGACCCAATTTATCTTAAACTAGTTGTGTACTAAGGGTTATCAAACTGCTTCTTCGTTTTGCTATTTATGCAAATTATTTGCTGCCAGTATTTGTGCGAATTGAAATTTTAGCTGAAAACTGGGAAGCATTATTTTTTAATTGATTGCCATGAATGCTGTTTTCGTGCTGAGGAAATTGGAACCAGAACTTGTTCCCTAACAAATTTTTGCTGAGAGGCTAGGGGAGCATTTTTTATTTCTGTTTTTTAGTACTAAATTTTCGAAGGACTGTTTTATGTGTGTAATTTCTTTTTTTTGCTTCAGGAGTAATGTCGTTAGCTGGTATTTTCAATAGAGCACTTGCTCGTTCTACAGTGGCATGCTTTTCGCGGTGGATGCATAATTTCAGATTAAATAGGATGACGGCAGTGTCCCTACATGTAAATGAATCGAAAAATTTGGTAGTCTCGGTACCATACTGTGGAACAGGATATGTAGAAGATCCAGGACCATTTCCGCTGCCTAAACAACTTACTTTTGAAGAAGTATTCACGTTTTGTCTTAGATAAGTCGGAATGCTGGTTGATTTTTGCAATTATAGGCTTGATGGTTTCAGGTTGAACGTCGAGTGATGAAAGCAATTCGTGCTTGGGATCGGTTTCCAGAAGAGAAGAAGGAGACTTTGACATTGGATACTAATTTTGTTAAGGACATGGGCTTCGATTCTTTAGATCATGTAGAAATTGTGATATCGTTGGAAGACGAGTTCGGTTTCGAGATTCCGGAAACGGATGCTGAGAAGTTAGAAACGCCCCGTGATGCCTTCAAGTACATTTGCGAACATGAAGACGTTTTTGAGTAAAATAATACTGTCATAGTCCTAGGACTCGTGAAAGCATATAAATGTTAAATTATCATTTATAAATTATTTCTCATGTTCGGACCAAAAGTTGGAACTTACCACGGTAACGAACTGAGTATAGTGCTATAGCCTGGGATTTGTCGTTCCACGTACGGAATACATTGCCAGTTGAGAAGTTTTAGGATAATATTGCATAGTTTTAGGGCTTGTATAAAAACATGTTTCCGATATTTCATGGTACGATATGAAGTTTCGTACAAAAGCTTATCAAACCATTAATATTTGATATAAAGTGAGAAGTATTTGTCACTTTTTCTAGCTCACTCATCACCACTGTTCATTACCACTTGTAAAGACACTGCTGTTTTTCATTGTATTTAGATATGTAGTATTACTGCAAGTACTGCTGCATGTTTTTATTTGGAACTTTTGCTGTTTATTTCATATTAGACAAAATAGTTACAAAGTTGAATTCAGAGAAACCACATAAAAAATTGATGTGACAAATGATGAACTATGTGAATGACTTTGGTAACTATCACAACAATAGCATTTTAGGAAATTGATGCCAATACCTGCGATATGTGCTGATAGAAAGCCTAAAATGGTAAAATATTGCCAAGAAAATTGGAAGATTTCCTTTTATTTGCTGGAAATTTGACCATATACTATAGACCAGATCCAATATTACATTATTAATCACAAAATATTTCTAGTGTTCGGACGAAAAATTAGAACTTATCACAGTAACATACTGAGTATAGCGCTATAGCTTGGGAAATGCTTGATGTACTCGTCATTTCGCGTATGGAATGCATTGCCAATTGAGGACAGCCTACATCCACCGCTTGAATGCCTAAGTTAGTCGCAAGTATTGGTCCAATCGTTGAACCGCACGGCATATCATTTCGAACCACTACCTTCTGCAATAGATTTTTGTCTCACTTCACCTATATTAGTCCGTCACATGAGGGAAGAAAAGTTCGTCTTTTCTAAAGCAATCATGTACGTAGCTAACTGACTTAAAATAAATACAGCATAATGAGTTTTACCAACCTTTAAAATACTGAGAAAACAAACGTTTGTTAACAGATACCAGTTCTAAGTAATGACTAATAAGAAAACCTGAACTTTAATTAGAAGTCATGCAAGACCGAGTGTAAAAACTACTTGTAATGGTATATTAGCTAAGTGTGCAATTTGCTTGAGAACACTGTGGGTGGTAGCTGTAGTAGCGTAACGCTGGTCAACGTTGATCTTCACTACGACACCACCATGAAGATCTGGTCTATGGCACTCCTGTAAATTATTTACTTGGCATTTTTTTTATAGTTTGGATGTGATACATTCAGATATCAGTAATGCGCTATATTTACTTCATGTTTATCTTTATAATTTGGATGTACTGCATGTGCTTGATCTGCACTGATCAGAAATGATTTCCCGATAGCTTCCTCAAATGCATTTGGTGAGTCATTAGCTGCTGCGATGCGTCGCAAAACCCATTCCGTAAAACTGCTTCCAGCACCTTGTGCTGAATTGCTTCCACACTGAAATGAAAGAGATGTTAATATTAATAAAAAATTAGTCATAAAATTAACAAATCACTCACTTCCTCATTATCATAACATGCAGCTAATCTGATATTTCCATCATTTTCAAGTGCGTCTTTTTCATTTAGACTTTCAAGAAGTCCGGAAATGCAAGTGTACGCGCCAACTAAATTGTCTAGTCGTTGACCAGTAATAAATTCTTCGTATACTCCTCCAATCGTCTAAATTAAAGAATTAATAAAACGAAAGATGAAGTATATATGATAGAACGAAGTCCTTTTGAGTAGTCTAACTTTTCACCGCTTTTTGGTGATCATAAAGATACAAATCAAGATCCAGTATGCTATCCGGTTTAGAACCAGCTGCATTAGCTATCGTTTGGAGAAATACCAAATGATGATCATTGAGTACAGTGCTCGCATCTGTGTCGTCGCATTTCCGATCACTTTCTTTTTTTTTCTGAAATGTATAAATGAAAAAAGAAATATTTATTTTTCGAAAAGATAAATACTACAGATGTATTTAAGGAAGGTTTTACTACTGTAGTCTGTAAACTTCGGGAGGAATACCGCAACATACAAATCAGAAAATAAGAGCCTCACTAAATTATTAAAAAACGTACGTTAAGTTCAAATAATCTTTCAGCAGCTAAAGTAGCAAGTATCGGTCGTAAATGCGTCTCATTATTGAACTCAAATTTGCTGCGTTCAGAACTATTCGTCAAATGAATAGCCAAATTAGGAATATAAACAACTGGAGAGTCAATATTTATCAGCTTATGCACGATACTATTCTCCTAAAAATTCTTCTTCTTTTTATCTGATATTGCTTCCTTTAGTTTGGGAAATTAAAGGATTCTATAATTTTTCTTTCACTAGTACAAAACGCTGCTTACGAGTTTACAGCATTTATATTACACTTCAAAAAATGCTAAACTGTTAGAATAGTTACTAGCAAAACCTACATTAACATTATGAAAGAACAGTTTCAGAAAAACCTATAGTCTGCTGAAATTTGCATTTAAGAATATTAATGCTTTTATAATAAAATCTCACATTTCTGCAAATAACTTGCCCAGCTATGCTGAGATCACGATCAAACCAAGTTCGCCACAGGCCTCCACCATATGTTGAAACACCAATCTAAACAAGTTATGGGTACTGAAACAAGCATAACTAAACATTAAATTGAAGTTTAGCTAAATTAGGAAGAATGTGATCTATTGAAAAAGACTTTTAGGATTCCAGAAGCATCAAAAAGAATTCACGCACTTGCAAATATTTGTCGCCACATATTTTTGAAACTGGCTTTACCCGTAATGTTGGACTATCAGTATGTGCAGCAACAATGGAATAGCCATTACCAGCACGATATTTACCTCCAACAGCAAACGCAAAAATCGAAGACTTATTCCTAAAGTAACCTAATTTTATCCGACATCTTGTAAAAAATGTTTTGTAGATCCATTACGCTCATTATGACTTAGAACACATACTTAGTAACAAAGTATTTTTTCAAAGGTTCAATAATCCAACGATCTGATTCTTTCAGCTCTTGAAACCCAGCATTTCGGAGCCGTTTAACACTTTCTTCCACGACTAAAAAAGATTCATCGCTAGTTCACCCAAATAATTACCACTAAAATTTCAAAGGACATTTTTGAATTTAACAAATAAAAGATTTTATTTATACCGTGAAATGGTGTAACAGATTTGTTTAGAAACGACACAAAGTCCTTTGCAATTTTCTTTACATCACAATTTGCTTGCCATGAACTCATATCCTGAAATTTGAACAGAATTACCAAACTAGAAATTAAAGCTGAAATTTGAAAATGACGAAAAACCCGAAAATTCCAAATGCCGATAGAATAAAGTAACAAATTAAATTTTATATGCACAAATACAGAGTATTAATTTCAAAAAAAAACAAAACATAAATCGGATGACAAATATAAATTATTCAATTTATATATTACCTATAAAACTAATGACAGGTACGCCACTCTTTCACAAAGCATTCAGTGTAGAAATCCTTTCTCGTTGCATTTTCTCTTATTCATACACTCTTTCATAGAAAATACGCACAACAAAACTATGTGAAAATATGAAATTTCACACTCACATGTCGAATAATAGAGTCTATGAGAGTCTATATATTTGTTAGCGTTGTTTCCACAGCTCTGATGCATACACAAACAGACAATTTAAATTTACATATTTTTTTTAAAAAACAAATTTAATGACAAAGAAGAAAGGTATTTAAGTGAAAATCCGTTATAATTTTTAATGTTTCACACAAACGAAAATGAGCTCCGTAATTTTTTTGTCTAATGATTTCTTATACTTAGCATCAGTAACTGATTCCCTTTTATTCAGCTATATTCTTTACTTACTATCTCATTTGCTAGTATTTCCTCATCGATGAAAACCATCATAACTCTGATCATAATAATATTTTCTTATTTCCATGTCACGCCGGTAACTCTCACCAACTTTTCGCTAGATTCTCAATCAAAAAGTGGTTGGTGTTAAGGACAATCAAGTTTACTCCTTTCCTGCCTCCTCCCTTCCCAGACACTCAGAATACCATGCCTCAGTACTTCAAAGCAATTATGGGTTATCTCGAGCAATGAGAATTGCCGCTCTGAAATGATTATTCTGTTTTTCTTTTCTGTTCATTTTTCCACTAGTTTTCAAATAGTCCTTACAGTCTAAACTCTCTAAAAATAACATGATATTTCATTATTTAGTCTCAATCTTCAAATATTTTCGAAGGCGCGATCTTTCACATAATTTGTTACTTTTTTAGTTTCTTGGCGGGTTATTTTTAATGACGAACAGTTTGCTCCGTCAGACGTAAGTATGATTATAAGTTTAGTAAAGTAGAGAGAACGTTGACTTGAAGAATTATGCAGATTCAAAGATGGGGTTGAATACTACTTCTGTTATAGTTTTGTGCATATTTCAGAGATAAAGAAGAACAGTTTTAAATATGCAGCCGTCCGCTTCTGTTGTACAAGCAGCATTCAAGCGTTCGAAAAGAATAAAATGTGGAAGGGTAAGTTATTGGACCCTTATTTGAACGTGATAAGTATGACAATAAGTTGGTAGTATTTGAATAAGTGTACTGGAGGACTACATTTACATCTAATTCATGCAGCTCATTAATTCCTCTAAGTAGGAACTAAAGTCGTAATTTACTTAGAATTTTGGAAAGTGAGGACCACGATGTTTTCTGGGTTTTTTAGATAATACTGTTCGTCGATCAGTTGTATGGTTGGAGAGGAATAGACACAGGATTCTATGGTTCAGAAATGTCTGAAGACACTTATGATTATCATGACAAAATTGGAGCATTTGAAACTCAAAATGAAGACGAAAATAGTCAAATGCAAACTATTAGCAGTTGTGAGGAGCAACCAGCAAAAGAAGTATTATCTGAAGCTTTGCTTCTTCTGATAAATTACTTTGTGTTGTACTGTGTTTTAGAAAATTTTTGTGTGATATCAAATTTTGCCAAATTATTATTACAGAAGCAAGAAGTTCATGCTAATTTCAATATCTGCACTGGTCGAGCACCTACTCCGAATTTCAGTTTTACTTATATAGAAACTTCATATAATTCAAGCAGTAAGCTGGTTGCTTCAGTTTTGTTATCAGAAATATTGGGGTGTTATCAACTTATTAGAGGATGATTTTTACTGATAAATCTTTCAGGAAGAGCAGACCATAGTGTCCAACCAAGCGATAATAATACAACCCTTATTAATGATGGAAGTGAACGGTGTTCAGAGAAAACATGTTTAGTTGATCCATCAGATGAAAATACGTCTGAACGGTGTTCAGAGAAAACATGTTTAGTTGATCCATCAGATGAAAATACGTCTGGACGGTGTTCAGAGAAAACATGTGTAGTTGATCCATCAGATGAAAATACGTCTGTTATCAGTGATATAGGTGAACAAGAGTATGCCAGCATATTTTATTGAATAGAATTACAGCCGTTGTCAAGAATATAGAAATTTGCTTTCAGTGAGAGCATCTCAAGATGTCTTTTCGGAAGGAAGTAGAACATTAGCTAATTCAAGCATGCAATCAAAAACATGTCAGGATGCTTCTCTAGATGAAAATATAACTACTGCCGCCGGCTCAAACGAATATTCATGCACTGAAATTTATGAAAAATTTGAGAACAGTTCAGGCGAGCCGATGGAAATTGATGGATGTAGCCTTTGTTACATATTTATCATGTTAAATTTTTTATTTCTGTTAACAAATTTTAAGAAATAGGGGCATGTTAAACGGAGACTTAAGTAAATGTACATTTTCAGCTTCTTACTTCCGGTGTACTCTTCAGGATCATATGGATAAAACTATTCCTGTTTATTCTGAGGTAAGATTTTGAAGAAAAGTCTCATAGTTTTGTTCTGTGCAAAAAAAATTTTAGTTTTGCTATGCAGTATCAAAGTTTCTCAACTTTATCATAAATTATTTTCAGAATTTCAATATGATTCCGTTGTGGAACATTGAAATGAATGAAAATGAGCCTGGTGATTTATTGACCGCTGCAAAATCTATCAGTAGTGAGGAGCAAATGCTCACTTTGAAAGCAGATGATAAGGCATTCGTTACTGAGAAATTATTGGACGATAAAGTTTCTTAAGCCTAAACTATAAAGCTGTGATAAACTATGATTCAGTTTACCAAATTATAGAGGAATACTTTCAGAATGTAGCCGTGGTTAAAATTAAAAATGACGAGGAAAAATGCAGTTTTCCTGTTGTTGTTTGTGAGTGCACCAATAAGGTAAGATTTTATGAAAAATTACTTCAGAGTATAAATAACTTTTTAAAATTTTAAGATGTTGGATGATGCAGAAGATAATGCTGAAATACAGGATATATGCTCGGATGATATTCTGGTTATGAGTTTGAATGTTTCGCATATTAACGGACTTTTAGTCAAGAAAAAGAATCTAAAAAATGTTTTTTAAAGGATTTGAGAATTTATCATCAGAACTGGTTGTTTAATCGTTGATCTTAATGCTTAGTTCTTGTTTTTCATTGTTTCTATTAATATGTGCTGTCTTAAATATCTCAATTTAGAACTATTTTAGAAAGAGGAGTTGCAAACTCAGGATATAAACAAAGAGGTTTTTGAATGTCCTGATTCTTTGCAGACTTCTGATTTATCTCATGTGGATTGCGTCGATTCATTAACTTCTGCAAAGGCATTGGTTCGTCAAATTTTTAAATCTTTCCAAAATTCTGCTGAGCTATTTTTAGTTTTTGATAATTTTGTCTTTATTTACTGTGAATTATAGGTATCCCAAGTGTCAGAAAGTCCTAGAATTTCACGTATCCCTCGCTTCAATCTTTTGAAGATGAATATGAGTAATGCATGCCTGACTCCACCACATTATACCAACCTAGCAACCGTGTCTTTCAAGACGCCTCTACGAAATGCAAAAGTTTTTGAAGGACGTGATTATATTAGTAAACAAGATTCATTTGCAACCCCCTTATTTAAAAAAGTAAATTTTGTACTTACCTGCTTCGGAATTTGTGGGAATTGCAAAGAAACCAGAAATCATAAAGTTGACCAGTGGGATGAAGTGTTTTATATTTCAGAAATCTATTCACTTTGCTAAAACACATAGGAATAATACTCCGGTCAAAGAATCGGAATGCTGTGTTTGTCCTCGATATCTTGCTCATCACAAAAAATTTTCCGAGTAATGTTTTCAGAAACTTCTAATTAAAATTACAAAAACTGCTGAATGGTCTTAAAATTTTGAAAGCTTATTGATTCAAACTGTTTTAAATTCTTGATGTGGAAGCAGTTTTCATATAGCAGTTCCTAATATAAATACATTGTTTTCAGTCATGCTACGCAGACAATTTTTGAATTACCAGTGAGTCGCCGCATTTCTTTTAAAAATGAGGTACTTCTTCCATATACACAACCTAAAGATAAATAGATCTTGTATATATGAAATCTCGTAGTATTTTAATAGCAAAAGTTTTCTTTTACAGGTGACGCCCCCGTGTAGTCGTTTCACATCACGTGCCTGTCGTAACAGTACAGTATGTACTACTCAAAATCATACGCCCTCGAAAATACCTGTATTATGCAGTGCGTTGATTGAAATTTCTAACTATGAAACTCCATCACCTTCACCGAAAGTATGATATGCTTAAATTTCAGCTTTTATGGTGAAAATAAACTTATCCAATTATGGAAATTCATTGTATGGATTCAATCTCGAATAGGAACTATAAATAAGATTTTTGATTTGTTTTTTCAGCGAATTCGTTTGGTGGACTATAGTTGTACTCCCTTATCATGTAGAAAGCAATTTACTTGTCAAGTAAGATATTTTAATATTTCGATCGTATTTGCTAGTAAATATTGTTCATTATCAATTTTTTAATCGATAATTAAAGGATGTTTCGAAAGTTAGTACACCGAGACATATTGAGTCGAAAAGCAGTTCCGGATATTTGGTACCGCAGGTACCGATCACACGCTTCGCATTTGAACATTTAAAAAGTGGTGGAACTCCTCGTCCAAAACCCATTGAGAAGAACAAAAGATTAAACCAAATTTTAAGTGAAGACACGGTGATGACGGAGCCTAAAACACCTGTTATGAAAATAAGTAATTTTCGTGATGTTTGTAGATAATTTTATTGTTTTGTCTGCTCTTTCTTCATTTCATTATAGACATTAGTGAGATGCTCGTAGAAAAAATTGGTAGTGGTCCCATTAATAAGCGTCGATATCGTTCTCAAAAATCGCCATCGATTGAAAAGATTCATTTAGAAGGAAGCATTTCCAGTGATGAGGTAGCTCCTAATTTTTGTCTTGCTCTTTTCTGAATAAAATTTTTTTTAATTCGTGTTTAAATGCTCAGGGAAATTATTAGGTGTAAATTTTTTGCTTATAAGAGATGATTTCAGAATTTGAGGCTATCTACAGAAAGTGTTAACTTAGCAGTTTCTGAAGTCCAAGATTTTCCATGCAACGAAAAAGGTTTCACTTATAGTCATTTGCAAGTTAACATTGTTCTTTCAGTTGATAGGAAAAGCATTTTAGAAGAAATGGACAGAACTCGAGTAGTCGTTATTGACAGTTCTGATAATAGTGAAATGGAGGAGCTAGTGAAGAGCACATCAAATTTGAAAATAGAACCCGCATTCCCACAAATAGTCGAAACTATTTTTGACTCAACTTGTGCTTCGTATCAAAAGCAGCTTAAGATGCCTATATTTGACTTAACAAATTCCAATAAAGATCGAAGGATTCTGACAGGTATGTATATCCTCAAATTTTGAAATTGTTTATGGGTTGTTAGTTGAGTGCAGTTATTAACAAATATGGTAGCATATATTGAGATCAAAAGAATTGCTTTATATATTATTTTTGACGTTTGTTAATATCATCACTTAAGTTCTTTTTTGATTTTCTGGTATCAAATTAATATTCGTTCTTTTAAAAATATTAAAAGCTTAATATTGATATATATTGTTTAGTTTATAATATGTATAAGTTTTATTACTAAAAGTACATTTGTGACTATTAAGTTCGAAAACTCTGTTTCCCAGAGACATTACAGTACTGAACGATTCAAACATATCAACTAACACTCCTGGAAAAGAGGGTGGACTAAACGAATTCAAAATTGATGTTGACAACTTTTCATGCAGTGATGTTTCCAATGATTCATCAGATATTGTGCATATTGTAGCAGCAAAAAATGAAAATAGGCAATGTGCAATTTTGCACCCTCGCAAAATACGTAAAGTTTATCAACTTATATTGTTTCATTCTGTAATATGTGCTTAAAGTACTTCCATATGAATTGTATGAATATATTAGCTGTTTAATTACTTTATAGTTCGTCCGGAAATCACAGAAGCAGGTTGTCGGCGTTCCATGAGAAACCGAACTGCTCCCATTCGTCAGTGGCTGGGTGAAAAGCTTTTATATAAGCGAGATAAAGAAGGAAGTGAGCTACAGCTGTTTTTTGCTTATTCAAAAGTTTAGGTTGTGTTAAATTGTCAATATTTTTTAGCATATGAAATGAATGGAGTTCAAGAGGCTGTTATCAAAGATCCACTCTATGTCAAATACATGACGATCAATATGAATAACATTTTGGAGCAAAAGAAACGAAAACAAGGTATGTTATCGAAAACAAAGTATGCTGTCCTACGCTCCAGTTATTTCTGTCGGTATATTATTTTCTCATGTTGATTTTGCATTTCAGGACAATTTACTCGTGCCAGGAAACTTCGCGAACTTGCCTCTTCGCTTCATCAGTCTTCTAAAGAAAATTTTAAAAAAAGTAAAAAGACATAAACAATGTTTCTTTAGCTAGCTGATTAATAGAAAATGCCTCATTTTTCACGTCATCGCATGTAATTCTATTTTCTTTAATCTGCTATCGTAATATTCATATATAGTATAATGCTTTTCAAACTGTTAATATTTAAAAAATGTTTTCAGCCTGATATATTTGTCATCTGCCAAACGTGTCTTTTCGTGAAGTAAATTGATTCTCAGAAACGTTTCTTCGTCTTATGCATATTTGCATTATTTTTGTAGCATGTGTACAAAAGTGGAATATCTAGTAATTTTGATTAACAAATGCTGAGAATCAAGTTTAAATATTTTGTATTAGCTCTCGTCACTCGAAAATTTTGAGTCAGTTTAAACTAAATTTATGTTATGCTTCCTAAATTTATGACCTCTTTGCTACTTAGTTATTTGAATGCTAATTTTAGGATCACATGACTTTTCCGTATGTGTGTGGTAAAAAGTGCTTAATTTAGTTTAAATAATGTACATGTAAGTCTTGATACATGTGTGTAGTTAAGAATTTAATTTTTTTTTGATGCCTCTTTGAATTCTCGAATTTTGAAAGTGCATTCATTGAGTATATGTACAACGTTCAATTCTTCATTTCTTTCGAATTTTTTAATGATCGTGAATAAAGAATTTTATATCATAGAAAAAACTTATATACTCCTAAACTGTCTGTATTATGAACTTGTAGATCAAGATTTAAATCTTTGTGATTGCGCTTGAAAGGGGAACTTATCATATCTTCTTAATTTTGAAAAATAAATACAGCAGTTGAAGCAATAATTTGATTTGAAAGTGAGGCTCAATTTAATTATAGATATCAATCTGGAGAGAGTATTGCATGAAACGAAATTCCATGACTCCGGTATATCGCTGAATAAGTTACCAAAATTATACAGCAGTTCCGAACTTAACTTCTCTGCAATTTATATATTTCGCCTAACTTTACTTCCATAGATTGTATCCTATAGGATGATCTGTCGCGCGGGTCCAGACAAAAGTTTAGAGTAGATTTAGAGGCTACGGAGGAAAAAGGCATCATACTAAAAATAAGTCTTCGCGTAAACTTAATCAAATAGTGATCAAGAGTAGAGATTTTCTAGTGGTGCTAACAGTAGTTGGTCATATGAAATTACTTTTGTCGTTTCAATATTTGGACGAAAGAGATATGTCGCTTAATTAGGTATTACGAAGTTACTTTGAGTTGTAGGATCCGATCTCGTGTAGATTATCAGGAAAGTGAAGCTTACAATACATCACATTTGCTATTTTATAAAATGTTAAGGGATTATAGTTTTCAGATTGAGAAAGCATGTATGAAACTATTACCTACGTATATCTCACAAGTTTGACTGTTTGGCTACTGTTTTCTCTGTATTATTTCGGCGCTTACCACAATGTACGCTACACCCTCATCTCACTAAACTTTTTCCTGATGTATTGGTAAATCTGGCTTTCTCATATTATTATTCATTGTCGGCATAATTGAATCCATGCGTAAATTCCTTTTCCCTGTTTTTCATAGTATCTCTTGACCTCACGTCAGATAGTCCCACCGTCAGTTAAGTTTGGGAAAAGATCATAAACACGACAGCCCGCGTTTCTCACATTTAGCGACGTAAAAGAGTAAGGAAGTACAGGTTGGACAAACAAAACCACCTAAATTCCGTCTCAAATTTCTCAAGAAATCTCAACATGTCAATATTTCAGAATGCCGCTGATAACCGTTATTTCAAATGTTGCTGCGAACATATTCCCATCAAATTTCAACATGCGCTTTGCGCAGTTAATGGCAGACATGTTAGGGAAGCCGGCAAATCGAGTAGTTTTGCTTGTTACGCCAGGAGCACAACTAACCCATGGTATCACGCAAGACCCATCATGCTTAATTGTAGTCAGTTCAGTTTATTACTTTTATCTTTCAGCTTGGAACTAAGATTCTAGGTATCAATAACAATAACATTAATAGTAATAAAATCCAACATGATTATGACTTTTGCAATATTCTTTGAGCACGTTTAGGAATGTATGAAAAAAACAAAGTTTCCAAAATTTGTGATAGATTTGCTTGTAGTGAAAATTCGAAAGGTCTGAATAATGCATTCGTATAGCTCGAGAAGTTAAGTCGAAATGTTTCGAAAATTTCAAACGCATCTGTCTTTTATAGTATCGAACAAAGTTTTGACTCATGCTTTTTTATATTTCTTTCAGCCACAAAAAAGTGGAAGGTATTCATTTGATAGTCTCTGAGTGTATTGTCGACTTTTTTCATGAAACTGATTTCAAAGTTTCAGTTAGGGGCTATATAGATTAATTACGAAGTAACCTAATGCTTACAATGTCTGTTATGAATCATAGTTCCAAAAATCTGAATATTCTGAGGTCCATTCTGACCAGGACTCCTCTCTCCTTTCTATAGAACGCAGTTCCCAAAGCAAGTCTTTCATCTCCATATCTTGACTGTCATCTTTTTCAATCCCAATGTCTTTAATGGGTTTGTCGTCGTTGCATTGTCTGTTTCCATCAAGAGCTTCTGGAAGATTATGAGAACATACGAAAGAATCTACAATTCTACCAAGAATATATCCTCTGCTTGATAATTGTTCAGTGCCATATTCCTTCTTGACCGCCGATGTTCCTATTTGACTTTCAGAATCTATTAGCAATACAGACTGAAAATGGCAAACTGCAGATGTTCTCATATGATTGAAAATCAAAAAATATTTCATTTTCATAAGATTATTACTTTAGTAGTCAAATAATTAGAAAAAATATTTACTGCTGTTACCAAGTGGCGACACAAGCGGACAAATGTCTTAATCACAAATTAAAATATTTCTTATCCAGTGGGGTTACGAGAACGAACTGAATAAATAAAATACTTCATTATATTGCGTAGCTACACCACACGTCATATCTAAAGGCATTCCACACAGTGATAGCTCTATGCAACCTTCTTCAATCCGCAGTTTTCCAATTTTACTGCCATTTGTAAAGCCATCAAGGCAATGTTTTGTTATTGATTTAGCATTTTCACTGAACTGTAAATTGAATGGAATTTACCCATGCAGGTCTACCACAATAATAATGATGAAAGTAGGATGTACATGGCAAATGACGAATGTTATTATGTTATCATAGCATTTCGTAAAAATATTTACGAACACATTAATAAAAGTGCGATATGAAAAGGTTTAAGAATTCACCTCCGGATTTTCTGACAAGTCTTGCTGACTAGAATCCTTAAGAACAGACAGAGTACTCGGTAACTGTAATATCAGCAATGAACCATTCCGATCTGAAATTAGAAATTTAATTCACAAAAGAAACATTAAATAAGTCGCATGAATCTATTAACAGAAAATTATACATGTAACACCTCGCTGAATCTGTCGCATAATCGCAGCCGCTCTACAACTGCTCGTTCTAGTGGGATTCTGCGGAATTTGGACAGGTTTAACGTCTTTATTTACGCCAACAACTTCACATTCCGATTTGAGATAAATATCTTTCCTTCTACAAGTAGACATTTTAAATACATTTTCCTCCACAAACCATGCATGTATAAAAATTGGACAACGTGAAAAGGAAGACAAACTTTTTTACTGGTGGTGAGTTACTTAAATTTGCCAACTCACTACTACAACTCTCTTGTTCTTCAGGAATTTGCTGTTGAAACTGTGTTTCTTCCGATTCTGGCAGTACCAAAGGAATGACTTTTCCTGGTTTCAGATCAGCCAAAAACTGAAAAATTAAGACATTTTAGCACGTAGCACCAGTATTACTCTTCAAAACAATCAGTTTTGAAAGTATGTGAAGTAAATTTTCATTTTTTACTCGAACAAATACACGAAAACAATTGCTCAAAAGTGCGTGTGATATTTCTCGCAATGTAGAAAAGGCATATGACAAGATAATTGTAACTTGCTGGTTACTTGATATCTCAGCAGTTTTCGTAAGTCCTCGTCTTCAGCTTCGTCATCAGATAGCCATTCAGATTCGCATGTTACATTTCTGGTATCTTTTTCTCTTATCACTTCTAGATCTTTCTTCTTCACAATCCCAGCACTAGTTGAGCAACGTTCTGTAACTGTGATTTTTATCATTATCTAACCGTATTCGCCAGTTTAGCGGTTTAGCATTTACCATTTATTGTGCTGCGAACTACTTTGGGTCGACTATCATCATTGAGACCCCACGAAAATATTCCCTGCTGTTCGATGAGATTTGGTTTCCGCGTTTCTCGATTACGACTACCTCGACCTCCACAACCCCGTCGTTCACGTCTTCCTGTTCGACGTGATCCTCTTGACCTGAAATATGTATTTCATAACCTTTTCAATGTTTTCTCATTGCTCGCTGATCGCAACTTTACATACAATTTAAGGACTAAACAGTAAAGAATTACATTTACAGAGATATGTGCTACTGCGTCTGCACAAGAGAAATTAGTAATATAACATACTCTACAGGTTCGCACTTTATTTCTCGCTTTCCAGCTACGGAAAGATTAGGTAGCGAGACCTGGCCCCTTTTCAGGTTACTAATTCCACGTGCAGAGCTCCCTCGTCCAACGGACATCACCAAACACTGCTACTCAGTCCAGCAACACTTAAAAAATATTGATCACAGATATATATGCTAAAACACATGCTATTTAGACTTATCAAGGCTGTTTGAAAATACCAGCCTGTATTTGTCTGTAAATATTTCCTGAACACAGGACAGAAATATTTGTCCTATATTTTATCCCACAACATATATCTGCTATCGACGTAAGCTCTGAATATGGCAACAATTGTACCGTCCAATTTTAGTATCATAACTATATACACAACATTCTAATCTGTATGGTGTTGGAAAAAGAAAGTCTTTGAGATGGAGTTGCTAAAAACTGTTCATATCGTCTTGTATTTGTCTGCACCTCCCATTCAGCTATTAAATATTTTGTTATTTCAAAAAGAAATTCATTTACTAAGCAGTTAATCTAGTACTTGGCACTGTTTAATATTACACTACATATGGATTCTTTCTTTAAAACTCCATCTTAAAGTTACCAAAGTAAACCTTTAATAGATTTGTTACACCACTTCCCTTGTACTTTCTCTCCTTTCCAGATATTCAGCATTGCCTTATAGAAGTTATTTATTTAGCTTTTGCTGTAAAATGGCTCTGTGCGACCAAATTGTTTTTGTTAATTGGGTCACTATGAAACTTATCAGTGCAGATGTCAAGAATGTAAATTGTTTCACTTCAAAAGTTTGCGTAGTTCACTTTGTGATGAGGTAGAATCAGGAAGTTGTAGTGACTTAAATAGAAGTAAGGTACGATTCTTTAAAAGAAAGAAGATAAAATATCATTTTGCATAGATATGTGCTTTTGTGATTATGTTTACTTCATCGAGACTACAAAAGATATGATTAAATGAATGCATCAGAAAAAAATCAGTTATTATTGATATTATTTTTTGCAGGCTAAAGCTATTGACTCATTTTCTGCGGAGAAGAACAAAGTATATTCATCGCTAATATCAGAATTTATGAAGAAAGAATTAGATATTGACCCTTCCCATTGTATTATTCACTTCCAGAATCTGGATGCCGGAAACGTTGGTTGTTGCAGTACGACAATGCAAGAGCTTTTGAAGAAATAATCTCTGTCTTTCTATTGTGTTTCTTGCAAAGAATGAAGTGCTTACTTTTTATTAATAGACTTATAATTTAGCGTCATATTACGACTTTTAGTAATTTTCGAACATTGAGTATTTTCGTAGCATATTTATGAGAATTTAGACTTTTGCACGAATATACTTCTGATAATTGCGTCAACAGTGATGCATGTTATCAGTTAATTGATTATTTTATCAGCTTTTCAAAATTTCGTAGCAACGAGATTGGTCGAGTAATGTGGTATTGGTGTTAATTAATTAGTTGTCAAAATCATTTCATTTATTTGTTCGATTCTTCAATAAAATGTGAAGCGAAAGGAAAACAATTCACACATTTTTGTATTCTGTCAGTAATTGAAAGACAAACTGTTTCAAAATTAGAAACAATTCTTTGTTTGGTGTAAATCAAATCTTTCATCAAATAAGGAATCTCTCAATCACAGTTTGATGTTCATCCATAATAGAGCATAATTAATACGCACAGAGTATTCAGTAGTGAGATGATTCTGAATAAGTCTGAACTACGTAGTATAATTAGACTTTCGGACATTGAGAATGTTTATTTTCTAAATTTCAAACTCAATAAGAAGCTAAAAATTTAGAAGGCCAAAGTTCAGCTGAACTATCTTCATTGTGTTGCATACTATCTTTCATTTCCATTTTGTTGGATTTAACTAACCATCTGATGATGTAAACACAAAAAAGTATTTGTTACTGTATTTTTTCAAACTTTGGCTTTCTAAATTTTTAGCTTCTTATTGAGTTTGAAATTTAGGAAATAAACACTTTCAATGATTCAAGCTTGTTGAGATAGTAAGTACTCATTGCAAATAATTAACATTCTCAAAGAGATCAAGATTTTTATTTGCTTGGAGAGAATGAGAATGCAGTTATGTGAAAAATTTGCAATTTCTAGAAGTCAAAAACTAAATCACTAGAAGTGGTTACTTCCTGAGCTTCAGGCTCGATAAGAAGAAGCTAAAAGTGAGTGATGGAAAATATTCAGAATTTTGTCATTCAAATTAGCATATTTACTGAATTGGTACATTTAAATGTAAAATTTTGCATGCAGCAAGATAAAAAGATAATATTGCGCGATGGTGTTCATTAATGTGAAAAAATCTCCAGCGTTTTTGATCATTCAACAAATCAGTCAGTTTGCTGTGCAGTCGGTGGTGCTGTGAATTTGGTTGATAAGGAAAAAGTTAGCTAGTAATGGCGAGTATTGAGCCGATTAAAGATAAGGTTTAGTGTTTGTGTTTGTCGTTAATTTGTGAATTTCAAAATTCAAGATTTTTGAGATTAGCAATCAGAAACAATTGATTATTCTTCTTGATAACGATGAAAAAAGGAGAAAGACTGGAAGTAAAACTTTATGAATTGAAGTACTTTTGCTTTACATCACTAGAAATGCACTACTGAAGGAAGTGTGAAATTGCAGAGTTCTGATATCATAGCTTCAGAGATACAAGGTTCTTTAAAGCGTGCTTCATCTGATGCTAGATTACCACACAAAGATTCACTTAAAAAATGTTCCACATTTGTCTAAAAAGCAAATAACGCTGCAAAAAGTTGCAAAATTTCAACGTCTCTCACCACAATTACGACACGTTGAGAAGAATTTTGGTAGTTCTAAAATTCTTAACTTCTTAAAAACCAGTAAAGAATGAGCTTTTTTTCATCAAGAATGAAAATTATGATGGAAATAAAGTGACGGGCTTGCCCGCTGTGAAGCATGAAGAACCAAGCATGGCAAAACCTGAGTTAGTACAACAAAAATTAAACATGAAGGTGACTTTTTTTTCCAAAAATTTTGTTTATTACCATTGGTTTTATAGAGTTGTTGTCTATTCCACAAAATTTTTATTTTCCGAGACTAATTGTTTGGAGTATTCATGCAGACGGATGTAATCTTAAGAGTGGTTCCCCCATTCCAAAGTGAAAATGTATCATCGGAATCACTCCCAAATGAATTGGATCCTGCAGATCGTGGAATAGATACTAATGAAGTAAATTTCAACTCTTGTCTAATTGTCTAAGAATTTATTTTCATGCCGCTAAACACTACAAAAAAATTCTGATTGAGATTGTAAAGATCGGATTTTATGATAATTCAAAGAATCTTATTTTATTGAACTGCACTGATATCTTTATTTTTCAGTTATCAGATATTTCTGAAGTAAAAGAATTTTCACGGTCGAAGAGTACGCATCAATTTTCTTTTTCTTCTGTTTTGCAGGTGCTTTTCTAAGTATTTTACAAATATTTGTACTTCTAGATATGAATCCAAAATTCACTTCAAGTATATCTTCACCACTGTCTCGTTTCGCTTCAGTCACATATACGAAAATTCATAAAAAAAAGATCAGTAATTATAATTTATAAAAGCTTCTAGCGTCTTTCGTGGATCATCCGTACAAATAAAAATATTCGAGCTATCATCATTTTCAATGTGGTTATATTCTTAATGAACTTTTTATTGATATTTCTTACAATATTTATTAACTGGAATATATTTTCTGTTCACCGACCAGTAAGTAATAGTTTAAACGTACAAGATTGGTACTATTTAAAAAAATTAATTCCTTTTATAAAAAGTAAGAAAATGCAATAATTTATAACTTTGAGATGGCAATACAGTTCTCACTGAATAATAATCGTGACAGAGATTAAAACTGCATGCACTAATTAAATTAAGATGCAAATTTGACTAAACTTTCAATATAAACTTCGCAAATCACATCTCAAACTTTTTAAATATTTGACTTTTGAACTTCTACCAAAGCAAGTTGAGGAAACTTACTTCTTAGGTTCAGTGCAAATATTGTTACTGCAATGAGCACTTTTTATTTTTGAGAATATGGTACTGCTGACATGACGTATTCTAGGGTGACTTTCTATTTCATTTGATTTAGTCACCATATTATAAACTACCAAATTTCAGTTCTTAAGTCTTCATTGGAAAATATTATGCATTTTTTAGTAATGCTTTCTGTCGGATTTAATATGTTGCCATTAAGGTCAAAATAATAACTTAGAATGAGTACACCAATGATTAACATGATCGTTCAGTACAGAATTCCTATTTTTGTTCAAAGCTTAATGTAGATTAAACTATTCATGCCGATTATATTATACTTCAATGAATAGAACGTGGATGATTTAGTCAATAATAGAAGATTTTATCAAAATATTCGCAGATGAGGTAGATATCTGCAGTGTGTTATTTTATACAACTGAAGTAGTTTTTCACTTTATTTCTTTTTTTTTTGACAGAAAAGTAGTTTGTTGCGTGACTTTCCGTGTAAATTCGAGTATACCCAATGGAGTTCATGCTCAGCAACATGTTATAATGGTGTAAACTTACCAAGAAAAAGTCGAACTGTTATAAAAGATTCAATTATCAGATCACGAGGAAAGTATGAACCTTGTCCGCCAGATTTAATTCACAAAGTGGATGTGGCACCTTGCAATACTTACAAGTAAAGATAATCAGTACTTTGAATTTGCATAGTTAGAATGCTTTTATGACACCTTTGATGCTTAGATTGCGCACACAATATGCAATTAGTTTGGAAAAATATAAGTCAAGTTCTTATACTTTCGTAATTATAATTATTCCACATATTATTATTTTCAGATGTCCAGTGTTACTGTCGAGTTTCCCTTTCCGAAAAGAATGCTACTTTCATAGTAAAGTGAATGGAACGGAAAATTCTTGCTATCAAATACGTGATGTTCCTTTAGAAGATACTTTGATAATGATAGACGCTGATCTTATCAAACAATGTTATAGTTGTTCTGACGACGTTTTAGAAATTTAACAAATGAAATCGCTCCCTTTTGAAGACAGCATTTATTTTAAAATCATTTTTCGATTGTATGCAATAATTATTCACTTATAAATAACATGTATATTAGTGGACTTACAATAGACTTTTGAATTGATTAAAAACTATTTGCATGTAATCAAAAGTTTCGCCTATTAAAATTTGAAATACAGTTTCAGACGAAAAAATTCCATAATTATCATAATCATAAATTAATTGAAATAAATCGTCTCAATCAGTCAAGAAACGAACATTGTATTTTATATTCTATAATTTTTTACTTCACATGCAGCATTTTCATTTTACCATTTTGTTTTTTTCACACTTCGTTTCTACACTTTTCTCTTATATTTTAATTAGTTAAGCTAATTAATTAGTTAATTAGCTAAAAATATTAACTTTGTTGGTGATTGACAGACAAGCAAATTAGAAATGCGATGAAGGCAGTATGAAGTGCGATTGGAAACGAAAAAACGTGAAAGTAACAAAATAAGTAAGTAACAGAAATGGTAGATAATTTGGTCAGTAAGCAGCGGAATAGAGGGAATATGTTCGTAGAAGAATGAGTGTGGAATATTTTCTATTTTAATTTCTGTCGATAAGTAAATCATAAGCAATGGGAATGGTTTGAAGTCAGAAGTAATTAAAATACTTTTAAGATTCGAAATGTATAATACTTTTTTTGCCGAAGGCAAAATGATTCATCTCTTCAGATATTGCCAATCTGCCTTAGTTTTGCTTCTAGCAACCGAAACAGAATGAGTAGATATTGTCTGACTTCCTTCTTCAAACCATTCCCATTGTTTATGATTTATTTCTAGGCAGAAATTAAAATAGAAAATAGTCCACACTCATTCTTCTACGAGCATATTCCCTTCATTCCGCTGCTTACTGACCAAATTATCTACCATTTCTATTACTTGTTACTTTCCCGCTCTTCCTTTTCCAGTCGTACTTCAGAACTAAATTTACATACGGCCTTCATCGCATTTCCAATTTGCTTGTCTATCAGTCGCCAACAAGTTTTTATTCTATTTTTTATTTTTATTCCTCTGATTTATTGGCATATATATCTGACTGAGAATCTTTTTTTTAATTTGGTCTTACAACTGAATTTTCTTGGCTGTTACAATGGAGGGAGTCTGTGCAATGTTTGTCATTTCTCATTCCTCCTGCTTTGCTTGCAACTATGTTATACATTTGCAACATTTCTATCCCTTCTCTCCGCTCCTTTTTAGTTCGTTTTTTTATTGCAAGAACTTGCTTTCACGTCGGTAAATATTGCTGACGTGAAAATTTTTAACGTTTCCTAAATTCAAATGTCAACAATGTTTTGATGTTTGCATAATTTAATTGCAACAAAAACGTTCATATTTATAGTTTCTGTAAAAGTAAGATTTTTTATTAATCCAAATTTATTCACGCCTAAAATTAAACTCGTTGCCTTGTTTTATTTTTTTCTCACATTTTTCATTCAACTCTGCTTATTTCTTTCAAGTCAACAATTCACTTCCTTTCTTCTATTACTTTTTATCAGTCAGTAATTCATCTGCAAGCACCAGAATTGTATAAAAAGTTAGCATTTCATATGAAATCATGCGCAATCGTGAAGAACTGATCAAGTAATCATTACGAAGAGATGTGATTTAATTAAAATTTCACATTGTTATGCAAATATCAAAAATTACGACTCACCTATTTTCATTAAAATTTGCACTGAAATGAGTTAATAACGAATAGTATGATATTTGTAAATCTTACCTAACAAAAAAACTATAACACTTAATTATGCAAATTCACAATACTTGACTATGCAAATTTATTTGCTTACTCAGATAGATTTAAAGACAACATATCATTTATCACTTTCATTTTTAGCTCTCAATAACGGGCGGCTGGGCGTTTTCATCTACTAATCTCTGAATAACCTTGAAGACTATACCTTTCCGAGATACTGAACCTGACTTCCAGTTCCTCTGAAAATGGTAATTATTGTATTTAAGCAAAGAATAGACCGTAAAGGCCGATTGTATTCTAGATCCTGCAAATATTTCAAGCTCAGTGATTTACTTTCAAGTCAGAACTTCAACTGAAACTTTATTTTAGTATTGCAAATAAATAATACAACTTCAACTACTAAAGTCACCGTATTTTAACTACTTAGTTGCTAAGCATGAAAAAGGTTCACAGCTCGAGCATTTCTGCCTCTGCTTTTGTTTGACTGATTACTTCACAAATTCTAGTAACTTGTCCGTATGAAACACCTTTCACCACATAATGTTTCATTCAACTTAGACTTAACTCCAACGGACAATGAGATTAAATATCCTGAAGTAACAGTTAGAGCTATTGCAAAACAAGGCTTTTATGTATGCATCAGATACATAATTACTTTTTATTGAGACAATTAATTAAAAACTTTTTTGTTTAGGCAGCTGTAGATCAACAAAAAACCAAAGGTATGTCAACTCTTCTCGATTCATAATTGTATTCAACACATCTTTTTCAATTATCACAAGTAGAAAAACCAGAAACAATTCAAAAAAATCATTTAAGTAATTCATATACTTTCCAGAAGATGCGTCATGTCTCAGGAAAAGTGTGAAGAACACGGAGGTTCGTTAGTGTTTCACAGATTGTTGAAAAATGATTGCAGTAATTCCTAAAAGCATGAACTTTCCCAAACATTAAAACAAATAAATTAATTACAACATCTAAGAACTGTACTTTATAGCACAACAAAGTTGTGGATGCCTATAATCCATATTACAATTACTTCGACGAACGATATGTACGTTTACTTCATTGCAGTAATTTATTAGCTTATCCGTAAATGAAAGTGAAGATTCCGAAACTAATAATTTCATTTTCACATGTAAAATAGGCATAGGTCATTAAACAGAAATGATTAATTTGAATAAATTCCATTACTGAGTTTCTTCATTCACAAAAAACACAATTTATTTCAATTTCTGAGATTGAAATTCACAACGTATGAACGAACCTTCAATGCTAGATCCAAATTTTGAATAATAAATCATTTCAGAAGCTTAATGTACGCAAAGGCCGGAAGAAGAAGAAAAGTAATGGACTTATGTACAAAATTACTTTATTATAAGTTCTCTATTATTGCCATTCATAGTGACTTTTAATTAAAACTCGTTAGAAATTTTTAACTACGAAAAACCTGCAGCTTTTTCAGCATTTATTTTTCTCCTAATTTTTGCAACATTTTATTGCAGGGCAGTTACAGTCGTCTAGTTCTGCAGTATCCAAAGTATGACTTCTTAAAAAATTATTTCTGTAATTTTTGCTTATAGCCTAGACTAGTGCTTCAACAGAACAGTTAAATAATAGGACCTTAAGGCTTAGAAACTGATTTTTATCATTGAAGGTTTGGGTTGTTGGAGACACAATAAGTTATTACTATTAATATTATTAATTATTAACATTTAAATAATTTCAGACAGGAGAATCGTAAGAATTTCAACAGTATTCATATATTTAAGCAGCAAATATACACTATACGTTTGCTTTCTAATTGTTACTTTCATTATTGAGATATAAACTAAGCTATCAAAAATAAAAACAAACAAACAAATTAGCTGTAAGTTACTCAAACAGATATATGGCAAAAACGAGCGAAAAAAATAAAGAAAAGTGATTTTTAAATAATGCAAGAATAGGAGATATATTTTGTGAGAAATAGAAGTTGATCGGAAATTCTGGCAGTCAATTCTGCAAAAAAATTATTTGAAATCAGGACAATGTTCATAAGGATGTATATTTTTTAGTAACAAGGATGACTTGTATGATTATCTTTCGCACCAGAGTGAATCATTTCCGTGAGTTAGTTCAAATGAGTTAAGTGTAAAATAATATTAACAAGGAATGAGATGCATGAATAAAAGCATACAAATAAAAAATGTTTTCATAAGAACTGTATTTTTGCAAATGTATTTATGGCCTCATGACAAATTAAAAACAAATTAAAAATAAACATTTGCGCAGTTTGGGGAAGAAAGAAGCCAAAAGTGTACCAAGTAAGAAACCATCAAAAGATGGTGAAGACAGCAATAAGAAAGGATCCAAAGAAGGAGGGAAAGACAAGGAAGTAAACGTTGATGATGCACATGATCGGGAATTAGCAGTGGCTGATGATCGAGATAAATATGCCCTGGCAGATGATGCTGCGGGAGGCGAAAAGGACGACGATGATAAAGATGGTGAACAAGAAGGTGCGAATGTAGAGAGTGAAATTAATAATTATTCAAACGATAGGTTTTTTTAAAAACATGAAATTTGATCAGTGATTAAAATAATGTACTCAATAATGTAGAATATGACTCAATCAAATATCTGAATCCATTGAAAATATTCTAACAAATGATCTGATTTTATAGCAAGGAACAAAATAGCATTGTTTCAAATTTTTGTTAGTGATTGTTATGAAGAAAAAAAGTGAAAAAATCGGATTCTAATTAAAAAATGATAAACAATTTAATTTAATGTTAATAACTGCTTAATACAATTCTAGGACATTACAAGGTACAAATCTTACCATTCTGTTAATGATTCAATCATTCTACTAATATAAATTAGATTGCTACATTTCTTTCAACTGCTTTGTGCATAATTTTTTTGCATGGAATCTTGGAAACCAGAGAATTTAAAAATTGAAGATGCAATCTGGTTTTCATTAGAATAAGTAGCAAATGTTGAAGGAGCAGCAGGAGGAGAAGGACAAGGAGATGCTGGAAGTGGAGTACCTGCTGGTGCTTCTGGAGGAGCAAGTGGCGCTAGTGAACTTGGGAAAGACCAAAGTGCATACATCGCAGGACAAAATGCCGGTGGTTCCGGAACCAGTGGTGCTGGAGCTGGTGGAGGTTATGGTGCTGGAGCCGGCTGTGCGAGTGAGTATGGTGCTAGTGGATTTGGAAAAGACAGGAGTACATACTGCGCCGCAGGACGAGGTGGCGGTGGTTATGGAGGGGGTGGTGCTGGAGGAGGCTCTGGAGCTGGAGGTGGAGGAGGCTCTGGCTCTGGTGCTGGTGCAGGAAGTGCGAGTGTATATGGCGCCGGTGGAGTTGGGAAAGACAGAAGTTCATACTTCCTCGCAGGACAAGGCAGCGGTGGTTACGGAGGAAGTGGTTCTGGAGCTGCTGGAGGCTCTGGAGCTGGAGGTGGAGGAGGCTCTGGCTCTGGTGCTGGTGCAGGAAGTGCGAGTGTATATGGCGCCGGTGGAGTTGGGAAAGACAGAAGTTCATACTTCCTCGCAGGACAAGGCGGCGGTGGTTACGGAGGAAGTGGTTCTGGAACTGCTGGAGGCTCTGGAGCTGGAGGTAGAGGAGGCTCTGGTGCTGGTGCAGGAAGTGCGAGTGTATATGGCGCCGGTGGAGTTGGGAAAGACAGAAGTTCATACTTCCTCGCAGGACAAGGCGGCGGTGGTTACGGAGGAAGTGGTTCTGGAGCTGCTGGAGGCTCTGGAGCTGGAGGTGGAGGAGGCTCTGGCTCTGGTGCTGGTGCAGGAAGTGCGAGTGTATATGGCGCCGGTGGAGTTGGGAAAGACAGAAGTTCATACTTCCTCGCAGGACAAGGCGCCGGTGGTTACGGAGGAAGTGGTTCCGGAGCTGCTGGAAGCTCTGGAGCTGGAGGTAAAGTAGGCTCTGGTGCTGGCGCAGGAAGTGCAAGTGCGTATGGCGCCGGTGCTTTTGGAAAAGACAGAAGTTCATACTTCCTTGCAGGACAAGGTGCTGGTGGTTATGTAGGAAGCGGTGGAGGGTCTGGAGCAAGCAAAGGGTCTGGTGCTGGTGTGGGAGGTGCAAGCGTGTATGGCGCTGACGCTTCAGGGAAAGATAGGAGCTCGTATTTTATGCCAGGACAAGTTGGCGGTAGTTACGCAGCAGGAAGCGGTGGATCAGGCGTCAAAGGTGGTTTTGGAGCCAGCGGAGGGTCTGGTGCTGGTGCGGGAGGTGCGAGCGTGTATGGTGCTGATACTGCAGGAAAGGATAGAAGTGTATACTTCGTGCCAGGACATATGGCAGGTAGTGGTACAGGAGCATCTGGAGCGAAAACTACTGGAAGTGCAGGACTTAACTTGAGCAGTCAAAGTATTTACATGATGTCTGGTGCCCCACAAAGTGGAGGGAGTGGAGGAAGTAAAGGAATTGGAGGAACTGGAAGTGTTCCTACTGCTAGTAATACTACCAGCGTCTACTTCACGAGATAAGTTGTGATATTGTAAAAATTACTGATGTATAATTAAACATAACTTTTGCTCTGATAATGTCTTCATACTGATAAAAGATTTTAAACCTGTAATTTCGAGAAAATCAAGCAAATTTATACCGTATAAAACGATGGAAGCTGCAAACATATAATACCAAATCACTAATTATCGATTCCTCGATCTTCTTGCTTCTAATTTCTTTACCGCTAATATTCTGTGATGAAAATTTGCCTCCATGGTTCCGTAACAAATGTTCCCAACATTGCCTAGAATAAAAGAGCTTATGGTGAAAATGAGATGCTCTCTTTAAAGCTGCAGTTTTAGTCAAAAATTGCATTAGTATTGCACTACTGACTACAGTCCATAATGTATAACGGTAATTATGAAAATGATAATCTCTTGCACCGCTGATTTTGTCAATCAGTCGTAGCATGAGGATATTAT